TAGTACTCCATTGTGTAAATATACCACATTTTTTTTCCTATCCATTCTTGGTCCAGGAGCATTTAGGTTGTTTCCAGGTTCTGGCTATGACAAAGCTGCTATGAACATAGTTGAGCACATGTCCTTGTGGCACGATTGAGCATGCCATGCTCCTGACGCGGCCTGGACTTGCCGAGACTGGCAGGAGTGCCAGGATTGAGACACACGGAGGCTTCTTTGCAGGTTGAAGAACAGCAACCTTTATTTTGCCCAGCAACCTTTTATAACTCTACTGCTTCTGTGGAAAACCACCGGCCAGAAAGAACACTTACATCCTTGTCAACTACAGACCACAAGGAAGTTCCCTTGTTGGTCGGGGGAGTGAGGGCAGCTAGATCACAACAGAGCAACCTTTGGATATATACCCAAAAGTAGTATTACTGGGTCGCCACACTGACATCCAAAGAGGTTGTATCAGTTTGCATCCCCACCAGCAATGCAGAAGTGTTCCCTTTCCCCCACAACCTCTCCAGCATAAGTTGTCATTAGTGTTTTTGTTTTCTTTTAAGATTTGTTTGTTTATTTATTTATTTATTTGTACAGCATTCCTTCCATGTGTGCCCGCATGCCAGATGGCTGTGAGCCACCATCTGGTTGCTGGGAACTCAGGACCTCTAGAAGTGCAGTCAGTACTCTTAACCACTGAGCCATCTCTCCAGCCCTCATCAGTGTTTTTGATCTTGGCCATTCTTACAGGGGTAAGATGTAATCTCAAGAGTTTGATTTGCATTTCTCTGATAACTAAGGATGTTGAACATTTCCTTAAGTATATTTCAGCCATTTTAGATTCCTCTGTTGAGAGTTCTCTGTTTAGGTCTGTACTCCATTTTTTTTTTATTGGATTATGTGATCTTTTGGTGTCCAGTTTCTTGAGTTCTTTGTATATTTTGGAGATCAGAACTGTCTGATGTGGGGTTAGCAAAGATCTTTTCCCATTCTGTAGGCTGCCGTTTTGTCTTGTTGACTGTGTCCTTTGCTTTATAGAAGCTTTTCAGTTTCAGGAGGTCCCATTTATTATTTCTCTCAATGTCTGTGCTGCTGGGGTTATATTTAGGAAGTGATTCCCTGTGCCAATGTGTTCAAGTGTACTTCCCATTTTCTCTTCTATGAGGTTCAGTGTGGCTGGCTTTATGTTGAGGTCTTTGATTCATTTGGATTTGAGTTTTGTGCATGGTGATAGATATGGATCTATTTTCATTTTTCTACATGTTGATATCCAGTTATGCCAGAACCACTTTTAAAATATGCTTTCCACAGGGCAGGAGACCCTGACTTCCCTAGGGGACAAAGAGGGAGGAGGAGAGGGAGGGGGGGCGTGGGAGGACGTTGGGAGGAGGGGCGTAAATGGAAACTTTTTATAATTTAATAAAATTACAAAAAAAAATATGCTTTCTTTCTCCATTTGATATTTTTTGCTTCTTTATCAAAGATCAGGTGTTCGAAGATGTGTGGATTGATATCCGGGTCTTCTCTTCAATTCCATTGGTCCTCCTGTCTGTTCTTATGCCAATCAATACCAGTCTGTTTTCAGTATTGTGGCTTTGTAATAGAGTTTGAAGTCAGGGATTGTGATGCCTCCAGAAGTTCTTTTATTGTAGAGGATTGTTTTGGTTATCCTGGGTTTTTTGCTTTTCCAAATGAAGTTGAGTACTGTCAGCCAGCTGTTTTCTAATGGATTATTTTTGTGTATGTCCATGTGGATGTTGGAAGAGGCCGCTAGTTAGTTCCTGGCCACTTAGCCTCAAAATAATCACACAGAAACTGTATTAAATAACTGCTTGGCCGATTAGCTCTAGCCTCTTATTGGCTAACTCTTACATATTAATTTAACCTATTTCTATTAATCTGTGTATTGCCATGTGGCTGTGCCTTACTGGCTAAAGTTCCCAGAGTCTGTCTCTGGTGGGGCTACATGGCTTCTCCCTAACTCCTCCTTTCTCCCAGCATTGTTTAGTTTTTCCTACCTAACTCTACCTTCTGCACAGGCCCATGACAGTTTATTACTGGTATACACAGCATACAGAGGGGTCCCACACCATGTGGATGCCCTGATGTGTGGAGGACAGAAGACAGTTTGCAGTTCTGTTTCTCCCGTCACGTTAGTCTCCAGGATCAAACTCAGCTGGGCAGGCTTGTTGACAAATGTAAGCACCCCGCTCCATTATTTTTTGTTTTGGGGATAGGGTAGCATTATGTAGCCTACATATTGAACTATGTAAACCAGGCAGGCCTCAAACCAAGAGATCCACTTGACTCTACTTCCAAAACGCTGGGATTAAAGGCGTGTACCACATCTGGCCCATTTCTTTTTTAATGATGTATTTTATTTTTATTTTTTTGAGACAGGGTTTCTCTGTAGCTTTCAAGCCTGTCCTGGAACTAGCTCTTGGAGACCAGGCTGGCCTCGAACTCACAGAGATCCACCTGTCTCTGCCTCCCGAGTGCTGGGATTAAAGCTGTGTGCCACCACCGCCAGGCTAATGATGTATTTTAAATTATGTGTATGTGTACGTGAGTGCAGGTGTTCACAGAGAGCAGAAAAAAGTGCTGGGCCCTCTGAAACTGGAGCTACAGATAGGTTTGAGTGCTGCAAAGTGAACTCAGGTCCCCTGCAATAGTGAGTCTTAACTGGTGAGGTCTCTCCAGTCTACTACAGCTCATTTTTCTAGAAAGCCTGATGAACTGTGAGCAGTGTTTCATACTTGAAATCCCAGCAAATGGGCAACTAAGGACAGACTACATAGCAAGAATGTCTCAGCTAAACTAGAACATTTTTGAGCCAGCTGTGGCCCCTGCCTGTGATTCCAGACCTGGGGGACTGAGATGGAAAGATTAAAAACAACCTAAGGAGCTACAGAGCTTGTCTTAGAACAGAGCACTTCAGGCCTCTGAAACAGTCCTTCCAGGCTGCTTTGTTTTCAGAGATGGTGTTAGAATCCAGGAACACTATTCTGCCTTAGTCTTTTGAGTATTGGCATTTCAGGCACAAGGCATCACTACTGTTTTATTTTAGGCAGGGTCTACGTAAACCAGGCCACCCTCAAGTTCATGGTGTGCTCTGCTTCAATGTTCCAAATTATCAGAATTATAGGTGCAAGTAACCATGCACTGCTAAATTTCAGAATTTTATGTCAAAGTTTTAATAGATTTTATGACAGACCAAAGGGATTATTCCCTAGCAGAACCCACAGATGAATTAAGCAGGATTGAGATGACCAAACTATTTGTTTTTTGACATGGTCTTACTATGGAACCTTGGTTGTCTTTCAGCTCACTTATGTAGATCTGCCTGCCTCTGCTTTCCAAGTGCTTGGGCTAAAAGCGTGTGCCACCATGCCCACTAGTGTTTGTTTTTTGAGTTAGTATTCTGATGTAGTTTGCTTTAGTCCCACATTTGCTATGTAATGGAGGGTGATTTGTGAACTCCTGAACCTCTTCCTGCCTGTACTCCCCAGATGTTCAGGCTACAGGTTTGTATCGCTGCCCCTATTTTTATGATCATACAGACAGAAACCAGGCACTTGTTCCTGTCAGATAATTGCTCACCACAAAGTTACTCCTCAACCTATAGAGCCTATATAGAAGACTCATTTTTGCTGTGCAATCTTAGACCATGTTGAATTCAGGTCAAAATGCACAGGTAAGACCAAAGTCCTGCTGCCCCCTGGTGGTGGACTGACCTTCAACAGTCAGACAGGTTCTCAGAACACAGGGTATGGGCACAGAAGCCACAGGATAAACATGGTGCATTTTCCTACAACATCTTTACTTGACGTTTTTTTTGGGAGAAAAGAGTAGGTAATGCAAAACACTTCTCATATTAGAACAGATGCATATAATATTGAATAGAATATAAAATTTACATTACTTTTGAGACAAAGTACTTTTGACAAAGACAGTTCAAGCTAAGCTACTCATGAGTTTCAGGAGTATCACTAAACCCTGAGTGGGAGAAGACCCTGCATGCTCATGCTACCTAACATCATGGCCTTGGCCACATTGATAGAAGTCTAAAAGCAGCAAATTCAGTGCTTATTCATTTGGCAAAGTATCAGTGAATTAATTAACAAGTGACAGTTTAGGCTTTCTCTTCTTAGGAGCATTTAACCTGCTGTTAAAAGGCCTGAGTAAATAGTAGCTTTATGCTTGAGTTGAAAATCTTCCTTCAAAAGTGATTTTCCTGCAGCAAAGTGTTTTTAACATGCCCAGCTGAGGGTATGACATGTGAGCTGGACAACAGCCTAGGAACCATGTGGTCCAGATCACCAGGTAAGAGTTACAAATGCACTTTTCAAGGGAGTCATCAGAAATGAAAACCACACTAGTCACATTAGGAGCAGAAGGGACTGTAGTGAAGACAAACTTTAGGACCTTAGGGGTTGGTGGGTTCTGAGCATTTGGGAGCTATAGTGTTGCAGTATTTGCTTTTTGTGTTATAGGAAGTCAAGAGCTTCTGTAGAGTGAAAGGCCATCCCATGTCCTTCCCAAAGCTTGCTCAAACCTGTTTAACTGCCCTTTTCTTTGTTGGTGGTGACGACTTTCTCTTCTAGAGTGAAAGTATGAAGACTTCTGCAGCAACCTGCTACAGTAACTCAGCAACACTAGATTAGATAGGTCAACTGCCCAGAAGCAGGGTGGGAGGTGGACTGCTGCTGACTTTCTAGCATCTATCTACTCAGGGGAACTCAAACTCCCACATGGTATGTGTGACTTCTTAATTTTCTCAACTTTTATAGAATCATTTCTTTCTTACTGGAATTCTATTCTTCATTTGACAAACCCTACCTGAGACTCAAAGCCACAGGAAAACCTGCTTGTTCCTTTAGGAATATACTTTTATTTTATGTTTAAAACACAAATTTGGAGAAAAAAAAGTCCCATTTCAAATAACTAATGGGGAACACCAGTGGTAAATGATGCTGTGCTAGGGAAAAGAACAAAAAAGGCAGACACCAATCACCTCCATTTTCCCAAGATTAAATGATTATTAAAAAAGCATGCCACATTGTATAGAAATAAAAATTCTCTCCCATAATTCAAATTAACATCCTTAGGTCAGAACAGTAAGTCTTCCCAAAGGGGACCTTCCGGAAAAACAAACTGTTTCCTCGGCTCATATTTCCCTGGAAAAGAAAAGAAACAGAAATAAAGTCTAGCATGAAGATGAAAGCACTCAAACTGGGACACATGTCTAGATGTGACTGAGATGGTTAGGACAGAACCTGGACCCATCAATATGGCCAAGTGACTGTTATTACAGAACTTTCAATAAACTCCTTTTTTTTGTTGTTGTTTTTTTTGAGACAGGGTTTTACCATGTAGCTCTGGTTGTCTTAGAACTCACTACATAAACCAGGGTGGCCTTGAACTCAGAGATCCGCCGCCTCCCAAATACTGGGATTAAAGGTATGTACCACCACTGCCCAGAATATTAAGTTCCTCTTAGCACCAACTTTTTCATATGTGAAACAGCAGCGTAGAGAACAGCGCCAATCTTCCTTCACAGGGCTAGTTTGAGAATGTTATGGGAAATGCTTGGTATGCTATCTGATACATTGTAGATGACTAAAACAGTTTTGTTTTCCTAAGCACATACAAGTTTAATGGTTTCCCAGATAAGGTTTGTTTGGCAACTTCTGGCAATCCATTTTCTATGTTCTTTCCTCCTACAAAAGGGCATTAGTTAGAAATGGGACTGCACTAGAAGACTGTCCTATAAAAACAGTAAGATCGGGGCTGGAGAGATGGCTCAGAGGTTAAGAGCATTGCCTGCTCTTCCAAAGGTCCTGAGTTCAATTCCCAGCAACCACATGGTGGCTCACAACCATCTGTAATGAGGTCTGGTGCCCTCTTCTGGCCTGCAGGCATACACACAGACAGAATATTGTATACATAATAAATAAATAAATATTAAAAAAAAAACAAAACAGTAAGATCTTGCTGGGCGGTAGTGGGACATGCCTTTAATCCCAATACTCGGGAGACGGAGGCAGGCAGATCTCAGTGAGTCTGAAGCCAGTCTGGTCTACAAAACAGTTTCAGGACAGCTAGCATTGTTACACAGAAAAACCCTATCTCAAAAAAGCAAATTAAAACAACAAACAAACAAACAAAACCCCAAAGACCCCAGTAGGATCTGGTCTGGAGAAGAGCTGGGGGTGTAGCTCAGTGGTGTTTCCCACACGTTTAAGACTCTGGATTCAATAACCAACACCACGAAAAGAAAATGAAAAACAGTTATGAGAATGTAGTATAGTGGCAGAGCTCTTCTTGTCTATTATTGGGAAGGCTCTGGGTTTGATCCTCAGCACACCAGAAAGCAAAAACAAGAAAATAATAAAGATAAACGAATGAAAACAAGAAAGGAAAAAACTTAGAAGAAAACCACAACTTTTATGTAAGTTTATACTGAAACCATTTAAAGATTCTAGCTTGGATTCAGTTGGCATGAACAGTGAGCAAAAGTAACCATAGCAACAATTGGACCTTTTCATTCAGAGTCCAGTCTGGGGGAGCCCAAGTTCTGTGAACAGAGCCATTCTCATCCATACCCTGGGTTCTGAAGTAGTGCAGCAAAGAGCTTCTTCATACTCTTCTCTGCAATCCTCGAAAAAGTGCAGGTCACGCAGAACCATCTGTAAACTGATGGCCTTTTTAAGTGATTCCCATGCTAAAGCCCATCCATTATCTTAGTTCCTCATACAACTATGTCTAGAGGTATCAAGAATGTTTGGCCAATGATATAACCCTCACCAATAACTACAAACTATAGCTTTGACAACCTCATCTACTAACAAAACAGGAAGCAAGCAACTACTTCTGTTCAGTATCACTTTGACAAAATTTTTTCTAATAAATTACTAAGTAATGTCTTATTTTTAGTCTTCATATCTAAATGTGGGGAAAGAAGTATATAAGATGTTCTGAGGAGTTACAGAAAGGCAAGTTTGCTGGGCTTCTGTTTAGTCTGTGTAAGGTCCTGGGTTCAATTCTCAGTTCCAAAATAAAGGTAAGTTTGAAATCAGGCTATTGCTTAAATAACTAGGAGAATTATCTCTCTGGACCCTATTTGTGACTTTCATTCAATCGCTCAAATGGCTTGTGGTGGGCATGGAGTGCCAACATGGAGTCTGTACTTCTGTACCACAGCCGTAGTCTCTAGGTAGCACACTTACGCTTGAGGGACAGACACAGCACTGTGAAGTTACTGATTAGCAGAATGAGTTAATATCAGAATTCAAGACACATCATTTAAGAGACCAAAAACAAAATGAGAGATAAAAATACCGCTTTTCGTAGCATGCACCAGCAATCTATCCAAGAAGTATATATTGGGGAGTAAGGAGGAGATCCACCAGCAAGCCTAAAATTGAAAAGACTAGTTACTTACAAACATTTTTCAAGGGACTTTTTGGCAAAAAATTTCCATCATAGGCTCCCTGAGATAGTTTTAATAAGAGAAATTACACCAGAGGAAAGACTATCGTAAAGCAGGTTTCAAGTCAACAAACAGAAACTTGTATATACTATACATTTATAGTATATATTCCTGTATACTATTATTACTTCTTTTTCCTTCTGAGTCAGAGTTTCCGTGTTGCCCTAGCTGTTCTGGAACTCACTGTGTAGGCCAGACTGGTCTTGAACTCAGAGATCTGCCTGCCTTTGCCTCCCAAGTGCTAGGCTTGAAGGCGTGCACCACCACTTAGCTCTCTCACTCCTCTCATTTCCCTTCCATCTCTTTCAATACCCCCTCATCCCTACTGAACTCTTTCCCAGAATCATGACTTGGTTTTATTTTGTGATACATTTAGATTTTCCATGAGCGGATAAATGAACAACCATATGACTGATCATCAGGGAAAATGGATTTTTATTTTTTTTAATTTTTTTAAAAAATATTTTATTTATTAATTATGTATACAACATTCTGTCTGCATGTAAGCCTGCAGGCCAGAAGAGGGCACCAGACCTCATTACAGATGGTTGTGATCCACCATGTGGTTGCTGGGAATTGAACTCAGGACGTTTGGAAGAGCAGGCAATGCTCTTAACCTCTGAGCCATCTCTCCAGCCCGAAAATGGATTTTTAAATGAGCTTTGTTCATAAAGAATTGAGCTATGAACTGCTGACTACACGCTCCTATCTGAATTAAAAAAAAAAAAAAGGAAAATTATGTCTATGTTGTTTTGCCTACATGTCTTTGCAGCATGTGTTTGTGTGGTGTCTGAGGCCAGAAGAGGATCCCAGAACCCATGGATCTGGAGGGCTTGACTGATAATGGCCTCAAACTTACAGATCTACTTACTCTGCCTCCTGAATGTTAGGATTAAAAATGCTCACTGCCAGCACCAGCTATTTAACTCATTTTAAAGTATGTGCTAAGCTAAAACATGGAGATTGCTCTAAAAAATCGGAAAACAAATACGATAGTCAAATTTGACTAAAAATTCCATGGAGCTATTTTAATTTTTGTTTGAAAACAATAACATGTCTAAATGACACATTAAGTCAGATATTATATCAGAACAGTTTTAGGTTTCCTTTTTTTAAAAATATTTATTTATTTATTATGTATACAATATTCTGTCTGTGTGTATGTCTGCAGGCCAGAAGAGGGCACCAGACCTCATTACAGATGGTTGTGAGCCACCATGTGGTTGCTGGGAATTGAACTCAGGACCTTTGGAAGAGCAGGCAATGCTCTTAACCACTGAGCCATCTCTCCAGCCCTAGGTTTCCTTTCCTAAGATTTTACTTATGTATAGGTGAGCATGTTTGTGCTCATTTGTGTATGGGTGCCCACAGAGATGAGGACAGGACATCAGATTCCCTGAAGCTTGAGTTCTAGGAAAAGGTGAGTCACCAGATGTGGGTGCTGAGAACTGAACTCTGGTCCTCTGGAAGAGCAGTATGTGCTCTTAACTGCTGAGCCATCTCCCTAGCCTGTTTTGTTTTTCTGACACAGGATCTCATGTAGTCCCCCTTGGCCTTAAACTTGCTATGCATCTAAGCTTAGCTTTGAATACCTGATCTTGCCTTCACCTCCCAAGTACTAGGATTATGGCACATGCTACCATAGCTATAGAACAGAGTTTTGAGTTAATTTTAGAAGCAAAATAGTTGCAGTCACTTGACATCTGGAACTGGAAATCAATGGTGTTCTCTAACATATTCCAGTGCTAGACTTGTGGAGACAAGCAACTCCCTGGGGCTTACTGGCCAGCCAATCTAGATGATTCTGAGAGTTCTTTTATTTTTTTAAACATTTATTTATTTATTATGTACACAGTGTTCAGCCTCCATGTATGCCAGAAGAGGGCACCAGATCTCATTACAGGTGGTTGTGAGCCACCATGTGGTTGCTGGGAATTGAACTCAGGACCTCTGGAAGAGCAGTCAGTGCTCTTAACCTCTGAGCCATCTCTCCAGCCCGATTCTGAGAGTTCTAAGCCAACCAATGAGAGAACCTATCTAAAAAACAAGGTAGATGGCACCTGCAGAATGACATTTGAGGTTAATCTCTGAACTCCACAAGTACACACATGTACCCTACACAACAAACACACATAATGTAATCAATGTATATCATGTGTACACGCACATAAACACTTCAGAATTTTTTTGTTTGTGTTTTGAAACAGGGTTTCTCTGTAGCTTTGGAGCCTATCCTGGAACTAGTTCTTGTAGACCAGGCTGGCCTCGAACTCACAGAGATCTGTCTGCCTCTGCCTCCTGAGTGCTGGGCTTAAAGGCGTGCACTACCACCACCCGGTCATACTTTAGAAATTTTAGGTATAGTTTATATACCCCCAAAAGGTATGTGGTAGTTGTTTAAAATAGAAGCTGATAGCTGGAGAGATAGGTCAGTGGTGACTGGTTACAGAGTGCATACTGCTCTTCCAGAGGACCTGAGTTCAGTTCCCATCACCCATTTCTTTTCTTTCTTTCTTTCTTTTTTTTTTAAAGATTTATTTATTTATTAAGTACACAGTGTTCAGCCTCCATGTATGCCAGAAGAGGGCACCAGATCTCATTACAGGTGGTTGTGAGCCACCATGTGGTCTCTGGGAATTGAACCCATGTCCTCTGGAAGAGCAGGCAGTGCTCTTAACCTCTGAGCCATCTCTCCAGCCCCTCCCAGCACCCATTTCAAATTGCTCATAATCACCTGTAACTTCAACCCTGGGGGATCTGACACACTTGCTCCTGGCTTCCTTGGGCACTTGCACTCATTTACAAACTCCTACATAGACAGGCACACATACACATAATTAGGAATAAAATCTTAGGGGGTGGAGAGATGGCTCATCAGTTAAGAGCATTTGCTGCTCTTGCAGAGGGCGCAGCTTCAATTCCCAGCACCCATATGGTGGCTTACAACCATCTGTAATGCCAGTCATATGGGGTCGGGGGGGCAAATTACCAAACTAAGAAATGCAAAGTAGGGGACTGTGGTTGCAACTAACTGGTGGAGTATATATGCCTAGCATATGTGAGGCCTTGGTTTCCGTCCTCCATGACTGCAAAAATAAAGACAAAATCAAGGCTGAGGAGAAGGCTCAGTGGGTAAAACACTGGTTGTGCAAGTACTAGAATTAGGTTTGGATATGCCACACCCACTCAACAGTTAAGATTGTATAGTGTACATCCTATAATCTGCACTTAGTAGGCAGAGGCAGATGATCCCCATGGCAGGTAGTCTAACTAGACCAGCTCAATTGAGCTCTGGGTTCAGTGAGACACCCAACTTTGTAAATAGAACGGAACGTCATCATGGAAAACACCAAACACATCAAATTCTGGCTTCCACATGCACCAGCTAAAACCCAAAAAGCACTTACCCACAATTGTTGACAGCCATAAGATTAGATACAAGCACAAAGGGGTAGGTCAACATACTGGCAAAGAACTGTAAGACAGCAAGAAAACAGCTGTGTTACCAAACCATTCTCAATCTTCATTACTCTCCTCTCTCCTCGAAGGCCTAGTGCTAGTACTGCTCAAACATCCCAACAGCAGCCCCGAGTTCGCGGGCCCTGGAATGCTTTTACATAGTTTTGAGCCCAGAGGCACCTTTTTTTTTTTTTTGCCACAATATACTCATATATCCAAAATTTATCAAAAGGCCAAGATAATCTTCTTATTCTATGATTGAGGTCTCATTCAAATCATTCAAATGAAAGTAAACTGCTTACTTAGGAGAAGTGTCTTTTTTCGTTTTTTTGTTTTTTTTTTTTTTGGTTTTCTGAGAAAGATTTCTCTGTGTAACAGTCCTAGCTGTCCTGGAACTAGCTCTTGTAGACCAGGCTGGCCTTGAGCTCACAGAGATCTGCCTGCCTCTGCCTCCCAAGTGCTGGGATAAAAGGCACGGGCCACCACCACCAGGCAGAGAAAAAGTTTTAAACTAATACAAATAAAGTATTTCAAAGTACCCCTGAAAAGAAGATGAGCACCCTCTCAAAGACAATGGGAACGACTCCAGAAGTCCATTTTCAGCTGTGTGATGAGTACTAGTTACCTAACTACGTGGGAGGCGGAAGCAGGTGAGATGAGATGGCTCAGTCACAGTCAAAGCTGCCAACACGGATGGACCTGAGCTAAGTCCTCAGAACCGACACCCACAAGTCCTCCTTCCTCCCTCCACACGCATGCTTTGGCACATGTGCAGTTCCCACATCCTCAAATCAATGCAAAGCACAAAGGGTTCAGTTCTCTAAGTGAGATGTGAAGGGCACATGTGCAGCTGCCCCACTCCCCCATGAAAGCTAAGCAATACAAAAAGCACACGGGGCAAGTAAATGCTGCCGTGAGAGGGCAACTGTAGTCTCTGTCCCCTCTGACACAGAGGAACGATGTGACGGAGATTTCCAGGGAGGCGGCTGGCAGCTTTAAAACAGTGCTCATACAGGCCGGACTTAAACAACCATCAACACCAAACAACCAACTATTCCTGGAAAATTCAGAGGATGAAGAAACTCACTCCTGTGACAGCTTGGGAATAACTTTTCAATTCATTCTTGGTAGAGACCTAAAACAGGAAAAGAGCTTCTATTAGAATGACTCATACACAAAGCTGATAGGAAGTTAAAACTCGTAAGAGTATGACAGTGTGAAAATGAAGTTTAATGAAAACAAAATATCCATGATGAATATAAAAAAGTGGCAGTCAGGGGCTGGAGAGATGGCTCAGCAATTAAGGGCACTGACTGCTCTTTTAGATGTTCTGAGTTCAGTTCTCAGCAACCACATGGTGGTTTGCAACCATTCATAATGAGAACTGGTGCCTTCTTCTGGCCTGTAGGAATACACGCAGGCACAACACTGCATATAATAACTTTTTTTGTTGTTTTTGTTTTTTAAGATGAGAATTCTCTGTCTAACAGTCCTAGCTGTCCTGGAACTAGCTCTTGTAGACCAGGCTGGCCTTGAGCTCATGGAGATCTGCCTGCTGGAATTAAAGGTGTGCACCAATGCCCAGCTAAAATAAATAAATCTTAAAAAACGAAAAACAAACAAACAGTCAGGCAGTAGTGGCACAGGCCTTTAGTCCCAGTACTTGGGAGGCAGAAACAGGTAGATCTCTGTGAGTTCAAGGCCAGCCTGTTCTACAGAGTGAGTTCCAGGACAGCCAGAAAAATCCTGTTTTGGAAATTTTTTTTTCCAACTTGATCATTCTCATCAATAACTACTGGCAAATTCCTATCACATTAGGATGATGTAGGAAGAAATGTACCAGCCTCAATATTTGGAAGATAATTCAAACCCTCAAAACCTCTGAGACGGAGATTTCTAGGAACCCCTTCAATACCCCAGGAGATGTGGTAAACCCCCAAACACAACAAACAGCTATTCTCCTTATATTGTATGCTCTAAAATTAGGTATTGAAAAAACAAAAAAAGTCTCAAAGTCGTAACAATATCAGGGCTAGATCCACGGGTACCCTCTATGGAGAAATAGCATGGCAGTCTTTATAAACTCAAATGGTCTTTTTTACTATGTAATGTTCTGTCTGGCACATCCCAAACTGTCATCTTACTTACAGCTACAATGACTGCCAGGTGAATACAAAGAAAGCCCTCACCAGCATCTTACCAAGATTATAACCTACCTCACTGTCCAGTGCATAGGTAATAATGAGATAAGCCAGTGAGTTACAGAGCCACAAGGAAATGATGTCACCTAGGAGGCGAGGAATTAGACCCCTACATGAAGACATAGTAAGCAGCAAAAAACTATGATCAGTAAAACAGGTATCTACTTAGTATAAACACATCTTGAAAGCTAAGACATTTAAAAACATTCTAGGGGACTGAACAGCATCAAACCCCACAACGTAGCCCTCATTCCAAGTTCAGTCTGGTTAACAGCTGTACTAATGCTGACCTGTTCCCACTTTTAGAATACAGGTCAGCTATAACCCTTTATGAATTACAGCCAACAGCACGCTTTACTATTAGTAACCATAACAGGAAGGGCCAAAGATTTGCAAGGTGCTTTGCAGAGGAGATTTATAACATTGTTTTACTAAACTATTTGATACTCAAATTTGGCAGGTCAAAAGATGAAGGGGAAAAAAACAACAACAAAAACCAACCAACCAACAGTGAGAATGATCCAAACAGAGAGAAATATCAAAAGCATGTTTCCAGAGGCTAGGAATATTGCTCAGTTGATAAGAGAGTTTGAAGCACGAGACCCTAAGTTTGATTTCCCAGTACTATACAAACGGGGTAATAGCCCATGCATGTAACTCCAGCACTCAGTAGAAAGAGGCAGGAGGAGCAGAAGTTCAAGGTAATCCTTTCCTTTACATAAAGTTTTAGGCCAAGCTGGAGTACATGAAACTATGTCTTAAAAAAAAAAAACCAAAAAAAAACAACAACAAAAAACAAGAATTCCTGTGCCAATTCCTGTAAGTTTATATTTGTTCATTTATTTTATTTATTATGTATACAATATTCTTTCTTTGTGTATGCCTGAAGGCCAGAAGAGGGCACCAGACCTCATTACAGATGGTTGTGAGCCACCATATGGTTGCTGGGAATTGAACTCAGGACCTCTGGAAGAGCAGGTAATGCTCTTAACCGCTGAGTCATCTCTCCAGCCACGCTTGTTTGTTTTTTGACTATGTCTTTAAAAAAAAAAAAAAAGTTCAAGAATTTAAGGCATTCATTTATTTGCTTCATGGCAGTGTTTTTAAGTGATAGAACTGGCATTCAAACCCAGCTCTTCCATCTGCAAGGTAATATTCCCAGTGTCACTCAAACTAGGTCAATCAAACCCAGGAAACACAAGTTTTTCATGTAGGCTGGCCTCAAACTTGCTATGTATACAAGGATAACCTCTTGAACGTCTGATCCCTTCCTCTTGAACGCCAGTATTATAGGCATGTATAGTCCAGTATGCCCAGTTTTATATGTGTTAGAGACTGAACCTAAAGCTTTTCATATGCTAGGCAAGTACACTACAAACTTAGGTACACTGCAGGCTCATCAACGCTTTTAAAATGAAACTGGTGCTGGAGAGATGGCTCAGTGGTTCAGAGCACTTAGTGCTCTTGTCTGCTGTGTAATAATCCTTCTGTACACTGTGAAAATGTGCTGCTCTCATTGTTAATAAAAAATTGATTGGCCAATAGCTAGGCAGGATTTTAGGGGCAGAGAGAATGCTGGGAAGAAGGGCGGAGTCAGGAGTCACCAGAGAGACACAGGGAAGCAGGAGGTACAAGATGAAAGAGAGGTAACATCATGTGGCAGAATGTAATTAATAGAAATGGGTTCATTTAAGTTATAAGAGTTAGTAATAAGCCTGAGTTAGTAATAAGTTAGTAATAAGCTGAGCATTTATAATCAAGTGTCCCTGTTGGTTATTTGGGAACTGATAAATTGGAAAGAAAAGTCCGCCCACACTCGCCAAAGACCCTGGTGTAGTTCACAACACCTACATGGTGGCTTACAATGGCCTCCACCGCCAGTTCCAAAGGATCTATCTGATTTTCTCTTCTGACACATACCTACTTGTGCTTGTGTGTATACTCACACATACAAATAACGTTTTAAAATGAGACTAATGATAAGCTGTTCTTTCTATTTGTCAGAATACTCAAAAATTAAAAAAAAATACTCAAAAAAAATTAAATAAATTTAGGGTCTGGTGAGTTGTCTCACCCAGAGGACCCCAGGTTTGATTCCTAGCAGCTCCATGAAGGCTTACAACCATGTACGATTCCAGTTCTAGAGGCTCTGACACCATATTCTGGCTTCCTCACATGGTGGCCTCTGTATATACATGTAAACAAAACATCTATACATATAAAATAACAAACAAAAGAAAAGAAAATGAAATCTGGGTCTCAGCTTAGTGGTAGAGCATGTACAAAAGACCCGTATTTGATTTTTAGCATCAACTAATTACAAAGATGCTGAAAACATACAAGGACCATTTCACTGGCCACAGTGAGTTTTTTGTTAGTCAAGCGCAGTAGTTTAAACTTTCCAAAGTCAAGCCATGAGAATGCTATTCTAGAGTAATAAAAATACATGTTATGACTTTTGCATCTTTCAAAAATTAGTATTCTCATTTTAATAACTGTATTATAAAGGAACTTATCATAAAAGCAAACAAATTAGACATTGTGCTGAAAACCTTTAAAGTTAGCACTTGGGAGGCAGAGGCAGGTAGATCTCTGTGAGCCTGAGGCACTAGCTCAAAAACAAAACAAAAGAGCAAGGCCTGGTGCAGGTACTCTTGTCACCACGGCAACAGCCCAAGCTTAATTCCTGAAACCCAGGCATTAAAAGATAAAACTGATTCTCTCAAGTTGTCCTCTGACTTCCTCACATGTACCTACAGGTAGAGGTATAGGAGGGTCAGGAGTTCAAAGTCATCCTCACTCAGTCTGAGGTCAGACTGGGCTATTAAGAGACCTTGTTTAAAAAAAAAATCCTTATCTCAAGCATATAAAATTTAAGTCAGTAGAGGTCTGTAAAGAGCTTAACATAAACTCCAAGAGAACAATTTTTTTCCTCAAAATTAAAGACTCATTGCCCTTATTTTCAAGAAAGCTTTTCTACCAACACAAAAATGATTAACAGGAAAATACAACATTTACTCACGCAAAAAATCCTACGATGCCTTCTTCCCGGTAGATGGTGAATATGGAGTCATACAGCCCGCTAGGAAACGATAAAAGGTAAAGGACACAGAGATCATTTGAGTTTTGAGAAGGGAATTTCATCCTCCACCCCCAACAGGGTTTCATCAAGCCCAAGGCAGCCTAAATTTATTATGCTGAGGCTGACCCTGAACTCCTACCTGCACTTTCCAAAGTGGCCTGAGATCACAGGCATACCCCATAACACCTGGCTAATAATTACTTTTGACAAAGTCAATTTCGTAACTCCCTTTCATCAAAAATTTCTAGCACTGGTTCACTCTTATAAAGTAGTTAAATTCCATTAGAAAATAAAGCTACTACTAGGGCTGGAGAGATGACTCAGTTGTTAAGAGCACCGGGCGCTCTTCCAGGGGACCTGGCTCAATTCCCAGCATCCATATGGTAGCTCACAACCTTCTGTCTAACTCAAGTCTCAGAGGATCTGGTGTTCTCTTCTGGCCTCTGTGGGCACCAGACATGAATGCGGTGCAAAGACTTACAAGAAGGCAAAACACATTTAACAAAAAAAGTGAAGTAATTAACTATGAAGGATGGGATAGCTGGATGATGGTGGCACACGCCTTTAATCTCAGCACTTTGGAGGCAGAGGCAGGTGGATCTCTGTGAGTCTGAGGCCAGCCTGGTCTACAGAGCGAGTTCCAGGACAGAATGCTACAGAGAAAAACCCTGTTTTAAAAAACCTAAGCAAACCAAAAAGACTGTGAAAGATGTAGTGTATGCAGTTTAGAATACATTTGGCTGGAATGATGCTCAGGGCTTAAAAGAGCACTTGCTGCTCTTGCAGGACCCATGTTCAGGTTCCAGCGCCTGAAACGGGGGCTCAAAACTATCTCTAACTCCAGTTCCAGAAGACCCGACACTTCTGGTCGTAACAGACACTGAACTGACTGCACGTGATACACATACAAACAAGCAGACAAACACACACACACACACACATATAAAAAGAAGAAGAAAAACAAACTCCAAACACTTACCAGTACTTGGACTCTCTGCCAACGAACTGTACCATAGATCTCAGAGTGATCACTGTAGAATAGAAATAAGACTGTTTTAACTTTTATTTATTTATTATGTATACAATATTCTGTCTGTGTGTATGTCTGCAGACCAGAAGAGGGCACCAGACCTCATTACAGATGGTTGTGAGCCACCATGTGGTTGCCGGGAATTGAACTCAGGACCTTTGGAAGAGCAGGCAATGCTCTTAACCACTGAGCCATCTCTCCAGCCCCATAAGACTGTTTTAAGAACTGTGTTGAGAGTCAGGGAGGCTGCTTAGCCGGTAAAGACAGTTGCTGACAAGCCCCTCAACCCGAGTTTGATCCTCAGAAATCAAGTTGTAGAAGGAGAAAACGGATTCCCAATTGTCCTCTGACCTCCACATAAATGCTGTAGAACGCCTGCCCCTCCTCTGCCAAAATAAAGGCAAAACAAATTCTTTAATTAAAGCAAAACCCACCAACTATGTTGAAATTATTTTGATAACCCTAAAAGTTTTTTTCATCTATCTGGAAGACACGTCACTATCTGGAAGAAGACAGCAAAGCAGGTGAACAAAAATATGAAGGCAGAGCCTTGCAGTCAATGCCCACACCAAGATAAAGAAATATGTAGAATAATGAGATTATTTTATGCTATCAACTGCAAACATACCGTGGAAGGGATGTGTAATGAGGGTAGCAGCAGAACGAGCAATCATCTCTCGAGTTGTCTAGGAACAATCAAAACACACTTCTGAAATCTAAATAAATGATATTCATATTCCTGTAAGGAATGTAGGTGGACACTCAGTATAGGGCAAAGGACTAGGTACCAAAGCTTTCCTGTTTTGGAGTCAGGAAGCAAGCTCCAATGGGATTAACCTACTATTTTATCATTTCGTTATACCTTTCATGGATTTCAACTTTCTGTTGTAGTAACTTTCTGAAATCTTCCTGAAAAAGAGACTTATTTTCCCGAATCCCATAGAGAAGAGAGAGGGTTACCTGTTAGAATAAACTACCAGAGTTGGATTCATTCACTCATCTGGCAGTAGTGGGAATTAAACCCAGGGCCTCACACACACTAAGTAAGTAAGTAAGTGCTCTACCAACAAGCTATATCCCTGGCCCTCTTAATACTTTTTTCATACAATATCTGTCTCACTAAGTTGTTTGGGCTGGCCTTGATTTTACTCTGTAGACCAAGCAGGCCTTAGAGTTTTGCTCCTCCTGCTTCAACCTCCCAAAACACTGGGACTACAGGCCTGAGCCATCAGGTCTGGCTTTCAAAGCCAGGCATGGTGGTGTATTCCTTCAATCCCATATGGGGGAGAAGCTGAGGCAGAAGGATTGTGAGTTTAAGGTCACCCTGGGCTAGAAAATTGATTTTCAAAATAAATAACAAAAAAGAATAAAATTTGGGGCTGGAGAGACAGCTCAGTGGTAAAGAATAATGGTTGTTGTTTCAGATTTGGCTCCCAGCACCCACATGGCAGCTGCCAACCTTCTGCAACACCAGTTCCAAAAACTACCCCATTGGCCTCTGCAGGTACCAGGCATGCATACAAGCAAGCAAAATACCCCTCCCCCAATAAAAGAACAAATGTAAAAACTGCCTCAGTTTTAACAACAGAGGAAGCTACACCTGTTCCCAACAGCAGGCCATGTTCTTCTTTTGGGTTATTAGACAGGAAAGCTCAATTTAAACTGGGAAAAGGCCTGGAAATGCAGAACTCATGATCCTGGTTCAACAACAACGGGTAAATTTATTTCTTACCTCTTTGATAACTCGATCAAAGGAGGATGAGCCTTCCTTTTGTACATTTCCAGATACTAATTCCTGGAAATAAAAAAGACAGAAATCTTGATGATTTTAAATAGAAATCTTCAAACCCATGGCTACCCCATAAGCCACCAGCCACTGAGATGAAAGGAAAAGTCCTGGTTTTTCTCCTATAAAGGATCAGACAGCAGGAATGTGCCGGAGACGGGCTCACATAGACAGCAGCACCAAAGTACCTCAGGTTTCACGCACTCCTGGTAATGCTATAGAAAAAAATAGAAACAAATAATAATTAGAGTTATTAATATGTCCTGTTAGAAGGCAATAACAAAATGAAAGCACTGATTTTCTTCTGCAATCTTCCCAATTTCTACCTCACATTAATCGACTGGAAATAACTATCTCTAAGGTTTAATATATCAAACATCTGAAGCAAACGCTCCTAAAAACTTTTTTTTCCCCTTGGCATTATAGGCCAGCGCCTATCATATGCCTGGTTTGAAAATGTTGTTTTCTTCTCTTCTTTCTTTCTTTCTTTCTTTTTTCTTTTCTTTTTTTTTTTTTTTTTTTTTGATTAGGGTTTCATTTAATACAGGATAGTTTTGACTTTTTTTCTTTTTCTTGTTTTTCCTTTTTTTTTTTGGTTTTTCGAGACAGGGTTTCTCTGTAGCTTTAGAGCCTGTCCTGAAACTAGTTCCTGTAGAACCAGGCTGGCCTTGGACTCACAGAGATCTGCCTGCCTCTGCCTCCCGAGTGCTGCAGGGCACAAAGGGGTAAAATGCTAACTGTGGTCCTGGTAAAGCCTATCCAGGAAGGCCTACAGCATGCTGGAAGTCTGGTAAAAATTAGCAGTGGTCAAACATAGAACTCAAGGATCGCTCACTTTGGCTGCATCATTCAAGTTTATAAAATGTCTGGAAACATCCCTAACCCTAAGAGTACCTTTCACAATGCTGACAGTAACAGCCTCTATAGCCCCTTCAGCCTCAGGTGCTCTAGGAGGTGCCCAACACCCTCTTACAAACCACTGCCTGTGGGCAGATGTGCACACTACACATAGGCCAAGCTACCCAGCTGCTATAGCATTTCACCATTTTGATTGCTTGGAAGTAACCAACCCTGAATCAAATGGGACCAGAACCTGGCAGAAGCTACAGGAGACCCTGACCAGTCTCACAGCATGTTTGAGACCACTTTCTTTGCCATGGCCACCCTCCATCTAAACCAGCTGGCACCAGGACCCTCAGAGACTCAGCACATGGCATGGCCACGTGCGATGAGAGGAATCTTGAGATGTATGGGCTTAGACCCCACTCCATTGAAGTATAGGGCCATGGGACAGATGCTTCCAAAAACATTTACTACATGCATGGACTGGGTTTTTGTTTGTTTGCAACTTTTAAAAATGCAAGCAAATGAGGCCAGGTGTGGTGGCACACACTTTTAATCCCAGCACTAGGGAGGCAGAAACAGAGGCAGATGGATCTCTTTGAGTCTACAAAGGGAGTTCCAGGACAATCAGGGCTATTATAGAGAAACCCTGCCTCAAAAACAAAACAAAGCAAAATAAAGAAAACCCAAAATAAAAAAAAAATCAAAAAACCCAATGAAGCTAGGCATGGTGGCACACACCTTTAATCCCAGCACTAAGGAGGCAAAGACAGAGGGATCTCTGGGAATTCAAGGTCAGCCTGGTTTACATAGCAAAACCCCGTCTCAAAGTAAATAAAAAATTCATACAATGAAGAAAATTTTTTTTAATATGTAATGTAACACATATACAAGGTTAGGGAGACATCTTGGTAGGTAAAATCTTTGCTGCATAAACATGAGAACCTGAGTTAGACTCCCAAGAACCCATGTAAAGTTAGGATAACAACATTCCATTCATCCGTAATCTTTGTGTTCCTACAAAAAGGTGGGAGGCCGAAATAGAACCCCAAGACCCTATGGGCAAGCTAGCCTGGTGTGCACAAAATAGTGAACAAAGAGACCCTGTTTCAAATAAGATGGAAAGTAAAGACCTACACTAGAGGGTGTTCTTTGACCTTTGCATGTGTACAGCGACTCATTTGCTCAAATATGTGCCCACACACAGAGAAACATGCATACACATCACACATAGACAAAACTAAACCCAACAACACAAACTGAAATACACAGAAGAGCGAACAAAAGCAGAAATATACAACTAGTGAGGAAAGCATTCATACAGCCATGACCCACACTGTGGAGAACTGCCACCATCCCTGACCTTGTGTGTAGATTCTTTTTCTGGTTAAGTTCCCCTTTTCCAGGTGATGGAGATTATGGGCTATGTCAGCACCCACCACCAAGTCGCATCTCAGCTGTTACGTTCATTTTTCTTTCTTTTTTAAACTTGTTTTTTATTATCTGTGTTTGGCTACCACACAAACATACAAAAAATCGGAAGAAAACTTGCTGAAGTCAGTTCTTGCCTTCTATCATGTGATCTTTGGGAATCAGATTCAAGTCATCATGAGACATCTTCAACTGCTGAGTCACCTCAATTGTGCTTTTCTTTTCTTTTTGAGACAATGTCTTATGCAACCCAGGCTGGCCTATAACTCAGGATGTAACTGAGGCTGGTTTTGAACTCCTGATTCTTCTCCCCCACCTCCTAAATGCTAGGGTTACAAGCACAATCCACTATGTCTAGCAGCAGCTTTTGCTTCTTTTCAATATTCTGAATAGGAAACGTGTCACTGAGATAATACTAGCAATGTAAAAAGTAACTGCAGGAAAAAAAAGCGTTTTTTACTCAGATTTCTTCCCTTACACTAACTAAGTAAGGAATAATAATAAAAAGTCAAACTGTATAGGTGAACAGAAGTACTTTCTATTCAGAACCTGTTTTAAAGGAAGAAGGTCACATATAAAGTCAATGACTTTAATTGCACAAATTTCTTTTGTTTCAAGGGGAAGAAGAGTGGGCATTTCAAGAACATGTTTTCAAAATAGGCATGTGGGCAACCACTCAGAAGGCAGAATCAAATTCAAGGCCAGCCTAGACTACTAAGCAAGTTCTGAGGCCAGTCTACGCTTCAAAGAGAAATCCTGTCTTCTATCAATCAGTTAACCAATTAATTAATTAAGAGAAAAAAATGTCAGGTTATTAGTTTATCTTTGAAATCAGTGGAATAAATTGTGCACAAAAGGCAACTAAAAGGTATGAAAACATTGACTTCCTCTTACCTGTAAGACTTTACCATGGACCACAGTTCCAAGGACTCCTGAACACAGTCTTGGCATTAAGCCTGTGAACAACCCACGCCTCCCATCGATGCTTGCAATGTACTGAGCTAAGAACAAAAGTCAGAGCTTTAGGTTCTAGTCCAAAAACACAGCTACAAGAAATCTCAAGGCAGCAGCCCTTCTACGTAGTTTCCGTCAGTCACTCCAGCCCAAATAAACCAAAGGCACCTACCATAGCAGAAGAGACCAGGAAGCTGACACACTTGTCGCCCAAAGATATTTCGTCCTGTTGTTGGGGGAAGAGGCTCATACCCCACCTTTAAAAACAAAGGAATGCATCAACACTAAGCAAATTCCCCAGGAACACTTTGGCTGCAAGGTCTTAAACAAAGAAAATCAGGCTCAAACTCTTTTGTGTTTGGTCCCGAAAGTGAGCCCCATGTCCATCCTTGTGCTCCATGTCTCTGTCAGCAAACTACTTTAGCTCCACAGGTTTTTTTATTTTTATTTTTCGAGACAGGGTTTCTCCGTAGTTTTTTTTTTTTGTTTTTGTTTTTTTTTTTTTTTTTTTTTTGGTGCCTGTCCTTGAACTAGCTCTTGTAGACCAGGCTGGCCTCGAATTCCATAGTTTTTTAAAATAAAAAAATGCAGTTTATATTTCTCAAGGCTTTGATGAAGTACTGTTTACTTCAAATAAAAAGATTTTATTACTCTTTTGTCCTATTGTATAGATTAGGACTGGGTTCAATAAACTCCAAGTTGCCCTTTGAGTTGAAATCTACAGAGTAAACCATGAAACTAAGATAGATTATCAAACAAGGAAACCATTGTGTCAGGAAAGCCTAGTTTATCAATAAGGCTAACAAATACTTTTTTACATTTTTTTTTCTTCCTTTTTGATTTTTGGAGACAGTTTCTCCACGTAGCCCTGGCTGTCCTGGAACTAGCTCTGAAGATCAGAATGGCCTTGAACTTAAAGATCCACCTGTCTCTGTCTCCCAAGTGCTGGGATTAAAGGAGTGTGCCACCACCACCCAGCTTTACATTTTTTTATATCTGAATAAAATAAGAAAATATTCACTGAGCCAGCATCAACTGCCTGCCTCTATGGTTAACTAGACAACAAAGGCAAATGCATAGTTAAGTAATTCACTTACGAAAATAATTGCATGCTAGGTCCATGTTAAATGTACAGTCTCATTAGCAATATACAGAAAGTCATAAAAATTAATGATTGTCATTTTATTTACACAATAAATTCTGGACTTGTAGTGCCAAACGGATAGTTGAGAAAAAAATACAGTAGGAGAGTTTGGACTCTATTGTTGCAGTTCCTTCATCTGTTGCTAATACTCCCCCTCTGAGCTCACTGAAAGGGTACCCTGTGAATTTTAAAACAGTACTTGGGAATTTCACTAACCCCCTGAGATACTTGGCAACACACACATATATTGTGAAATCAGACTTTAATACAGCAAATTGTTGAGGTAAGAGCACTGAATGTCACTAGAAACACTGCCCTTTTGAGAACTACTGAGGAGTTCGTACTGCAATGTAACCCAAATGTGCCTCCGCTTTAGACAAAGAGGGTTCAACTTCTACACTAAGATCTGAACATCGATCGGTCAACTTGGCAATAATTTCTATGAGTAACAACTGAAAAAATGAGGTCCATTCAGAGTCCTGCATGTTTTTTCAGAATGGTAAATAGTGAGGGCAGAGATTCTGAGGCCTGCTTCCTTCGGTAACACAAGGCATGGGGTGAGTATGTTAACTCTCAATAAATGCTTATAAAACGGCCTGCTCACCACGGGAAAGTTAGAATAGCAACTGAAAATATGATCACCAGCTAAAAGTAGGTTTCTTTACCCATGAATATAAAATATCACGTAATAACTAGCAGATCAGAAAGTAAGCTAAAGGGAAGCAAAAGAGACATCCGGGAGTTTGATATTACGTTTAAACTCACTAAACAGAACTGATTTTCAGCTCTGACCAACGTGATTTTCATTGTCATGAACCACACGGGCGGCTGTGAAAGCGCTCAATGGATCCTTAGAAAATCTGACTTCATTATTACTTCTCAATGAGATCCTTGTGTATATCCGGGTATCTGGTGTTAAAATCTCTGAACGGAACAGAAGTAGAAACAGCAAAACAGAAAGAAAAAGCGAATAAAAACAATACGATGTTGGCTTTCCTAGAATTTCACATTTGTCCCGAGATGAGTATCTCACATCTCTAGTTTGAGGAGGAATGGAAGAGGTGAGGTGACTGTCAGTTTCAGAGGGACGACAGGGAAAGGCTTGGGGAGCCCTCGGTGGCGATCGACCAGGATCAACCTTAGAGAAGGAAAACAAAGTTGAGAAGAGCCACGGCTAGGAAGGGCAGGGTGGCAGTTGGCTGCGGAGAGGGAGCTGGCCCGCCCGGAGCGAGCCTCGGGATGTTTCCGAGAGCGGCCGCGAGGCCGTGGAAGTTGTCCCTGACGGTTGGAAAGGGCAGCATCGCCGGAGGGGGAAGGCCTGGGACGCTGAGGGCGGTGGCAACCCAACAGGACGCTGACCGGGAAGGGCAGGGAGACGACTCATACCTGCATGAGCACTTTCACGTACATGAGCGGCTGGGACAGGATGGTGAGACCGGAGCCCAGGAATACCTGACTGGCCACGTCCGCCATCGTGGCACCCGAGGACGGACGGACCGACAGACCGAGTCACCAAGCGGCACAGCCGGTTCCAGATCACGTGTCGGAGGCGCCGGCTTCACTGGCCCGTCCGCGGCGCGCCGCCTGCTCAGGCCCCGCCCACTATCCCGCCCAAAGAAACGGCAGGCGCTCGCGAGTGGGGCGCACGGGGCGGGGCGCGCATGCGTGCTGGCGTGGGCTCCGCGCGCCACTAGTAAAGGCTATTTCTTATGCGCTTGCGCAGACCGGAAGTGTTCAGAAGGATCAAGGGGGTGGTGGTGGTGGTGGTGGTGTGTGGGGAGGAGGTGATGACCCTTGGCGGCCAAGGCAAGGTCATGAGGAAAACAACTGGGAGAAAGCGGTTACACCTAGTCCGAGGTAAAGTTCAGTGGGTGTTTTCCGTTAGAGTTGTCCCGTTTTAATGACCAACAGATACTATCCCTATCTGGCACAACAGTGAATTCTGCGGATTCATGTTTTTGCATATATTACTAACTCTGTAGTAGAGCCCTTCCCAGCATTTCACAGAGTCCCTAGGTTCAATCCTCAATACTGGAAAAACAAAGCAACAGCAACAAAATGTTCTCCCTAAGGGTCAGATGTGGTGTCACAGGCCCTTAATTCACGATTTGGAAGGCAGAGGCAGATGGACGTGTGTGCGTTCAAGGCTAACCCAGTCTACAGAGTGAATTCCGGGTAAGCGGGGGTGACATGGTGAGACAATGTCAAGTTTTTTTTATGTCTTCTCTGACTACTCTAAATTCACTTTACCCGCATTTCCTACCTGTTGCCTTATGGCACTTGTCACTGGGGAATTGTCTTTGCCTGTTGACAGTGTCGAACTCTGATTCAAGAACCCAGATGGCCTTTGTTCAGAATTTTATTTCCAGTGACTGGCACCTACCAGTATTTATGGTACTCAGTATTTATTACCAGATAAACAAATGTTTCAGTGCCCAAGCTATTAGATGTAAAATGGGGAAAAGGTGTTGCTTCTCCCTGCACCTTTGCCCTGTGTTGGACAACACCTAGTACAGGCCGTGTGTAATGCAGAGAATGAGAAACCAAGAAAACTACATGTGGAATCTGACTTTTCTTTACATATGTGTTATTTATCTTTCTTTGTATCTAAATCTATGAACAACACAACTAATTTACCTTCTCAGACTTATGAACATAAAGTGAAACTGTGTCTGTGGAGTTTCTTTAAAACTTGGTTGAAGTTAGTACAGCTCTCTATTCACCACAAAACCAGCTGATATTAGAAGGCAGTTTGTAGGTCAGACACATGGGTTTTGAAGTTCGATGGGCCTGGTTCACAGTCTACCTCTGCCAGTGTGTAACTGTGACCTAACACAGGTCATATCACTTCTTTAAGACTTTTAGGCAAATGAGTATAATAATAATCCACTTGCTAACATTATCTAAAGGAATGAATAAAGTAATGTCAACCTAGCCTGGCACACACATCAGAATGTAATAGTAAAATAGTAGCTTTTAGAATTATAAGAAACTTACAAGTTGTTTTTAAACTAAACACAGATATTTCTCAATGTTAGAAGCAGAGAAGTCATCTAGTAAGGGGATTTGTGCCTTGGTGGTACAAAATGAAAATCCAGTATTTCTGTCCTGTTTGCGTGTGAGGCATGAGAGGCTCAGAGAGGCTGAATGGTTGGACAGTAATCCCTGATAAGAGTTGGGTATGGTGACCCTAAGATGAGTTACTTAATAACTTATAGTCAAGCTGTGAGAAGAGTCAGAAGGTGATAGAAAGGGAGAGAGAACCTGAACAGCACCATGGCACAGGCGGCAAGGCAACATTTGCGAAAAGAGGGTATAAAAAGTGATGTTAAACTCTCCAGAGGCTAAGTATTGAGTCTAGGAAATGGGAGGGATTTACCAGATAAAACACTTCCTGGCTGGGAGAGGTCTAACCTGGGAGACATCAAAGTTTTCCTTTCAGTTCTGACTTTACCACTTTCTAGGTGGCCTGGCTTAGGTCATTCAACCTTTTTGTACCCCTCCACTGCTGTGGGAACTCCTCAGTCCTTAAGATACCAGCCCACGTGGGGGTGATCTCTTGTAATACAAATGCACCACAGCCGCTGGATTCCATTCCTGCTCCCCATTTGTGCAGAGGACTGTGATCTGTGAGTCTAACCCTAAATAAATAACCCTTTATTATACTCAATTCTGAGCTAGTGTGGGATTACACTTTAGCGTTCATCTGGTGCCCACGTGAATCCCAACTCCATACCTACCTGGTGGACCAGCCTAAAAGGCCCAAAAGGTCCACAGCCCAGAAGATCTCCCACTGCTGCCTGCCTGGCTTGATTTCACCTATTAAGCAGTTTTTTTTTCTTTTTTTCTTTCTTTTTTCTCTTTCTTTCTTTTTTTTTTCTTTTTTTTTTTGCCAAAACCCTGCCACAGTGGAGCTACGGTGCATGTGGCGATTTAAGCAGCTTCCAGTTTGTGTTACCTGGTCACGAGCTCTGGACTCCTTGCTCCATGTACAGAATTGATTTAATTGCTCTTAATTTGTCAAGTAAAGCATATTTGTCAGTATTTAATCAGGCATCAATGTGCAGAACCAAAGCTACTTGCAGGGAGTAACCCAAAGGGTACTCAAAGGAATGAAATCTGGTAGATTTTGGAAAATTAAAATATGTACACCTCACCATTGGCACTTACTCAGGTTTTCTAGTGGGAAACTGCCTTGAACTCAAGTAATCACACATTTATTAGAAGTTATGGCCATCATGGGTCTACCTGCACAAATAAAGACAAACAATGGTTCAGCATATGTGTCTAAGAAAATGAAACAGTTTTTTTGCTTCTTATAATATAAAGCATATTACAGGTATACAAAACAATCCTACAGGTCAGGCACTTATAGAAAGATCAAATAGGACTATAAGGGGTATGTTAAACAAACAGAATGTAACATGAGGGGAGCCTGCTTGTTTGGGGGTTTCTTTCCTGCCCTGCCCCTCAGCTGTTTAGTCCCAGAGAAAAATCACACACGGATCTCTTTAAGTTATAAAGCTGATTGGCCCATTAGGTCTGGCTACTTATTAGCTAACTCTCACATCTTGATTACCCCTTTTTCTGATCTATGTTAGCCCTGTGGCTCTGTACCTTTTTCAGTGGGGCAGATCACATGCTGCTGCTTCGGTGGTCTGGGCAGGAGTGGACGGAATCAACTTCCTCCTCCCCAGAATTCTCCTGCTCTCCTTGCATCATTTCCATTTCCTGTCTGGTTTTCCCGCCTACACCTCCTGCCTGGCCAATCAGCGTTTATTTAAAACATGATTGACAGAATACAGACAATTCTCCCACACCACTTCCCCTTCTAAAAAAAAAACAAAAACAAAAACAAAAAAAAAAAAACAAAGGAAAATATCCATAGTCCATTTTTGGGGAATGTGGGCATAGTATTCCAGGCTACTTCCAGCTGGTTGGGGGCACTGATAATCTTATGGGGACCTAAAGAAAAATTTAGAGTTATGATCAAGTCCTGACTGAAGTATCCTATGAGTCTTGATCATCTCAGGCAGCAGTCTTGAACCTGTTCTAGATGAAGAACTCAGACATCTGGGCCATCTATTCCTGTCGGAGATTTTTCAGGTGGCCTCCCTTGGTCAAAGATGATTTTTCTTAACTCTGAATAAATCCACAGCCTCTCATTTTCTGTGAAAACAAAAGCAAAATCTCTTCTCCAAAGTAATATATCTTTTGACTTCAATTTTGAAGCCAAGGTATTTTCAAAATACCTATCTTGGATTGATTCTGCAGCATTTATAAACAAATATCTTTTAGCAACTGTTGCTCCTTCCTCAGCATTCAAACAATTCAAAGAGAGGATAATAGCATACAGTATCAAGATTCTCTGTATATTTTCCATCTTTATGTGGCTTTATTTTAACCTCTATTTCTTTTATTTTTACTTTTAACTTTTGGCTTTTTGAGACAGGTTCTCTGCATATCTTTGTCCTGGAACACTCTCTGTAGACCAGGCTATCCTTGAACTCCCAGAGATCCGTCTGTCTCTGCCTCCCCATACTGGGATTAAAGGTGTGTACCACCACACCCAACTACTCTCTTTCTTTCTTTTTTTATTTCTAAGGACTTTAAACCATTTAGAGGTGTTTTTTTTTTTTTAATCTCTCTTTACTGTATACCTCTCTCTTTCTGACCACATGGGTCTTTCATTTGCTAAGGAATAAACACTCAAAAGCTCTTAAGGCGTTTCAAGGTCCTTGCCAGGAAGCAAGCTGCAACAGTGTTTCCATAGTCTGGATTGCCTGCTTGAAAGAGTCAGCGTTTTCCCTGGCCAGACAGCCCAGAAAGCCAGCATTTTAAAACAGCGCAGCTTTTTTCCTGCTATGGCTGAAAACTGAAATGCTTGACTCTAGTCTTTCCCAAGCTTTCTCAGGCTTTCTGTGGATGCACTTATCCATGTGGGCGCCATTATGTAACATGAAGAGGCTGGGCCTGCTTGTTTGGGTTTCTCTGTCCTGCCCAGTTCCCCCAGCTGTTTAGTCCCAGAGAAAAATCACACAAAGGACTCCGTAAGTTATAATGCTGATTGGCCCATTAGGTCAGGCTTCTTACTGGCTAACTCTCACATCTTGATTTACCCATTTTTCTGATCTATGTTAGCCATGTGGCTCAGTACCTTTTTCAGTGGGGCAGCTCACATCCTGCTGCTTCGGTGATCTGGGCAGGAATGGGCGGAATCAACTTCCTCCTCCCCAGAATTCTCCTGCTCTCCTTGCATCATTTCCATTTCCTGTCTGGTTTTCCCGCCTACACCTCCTGCCTGGCCAATCAGCGATTATTTAAAACATGATTGACAGAATACAGAGAATTCTCCCACACCAACAGAAAGGTATAGAAAATACCCCAAGGAATAGATTACATAATACTTTATTAACCTTGACTATTCTTAATGCTAATGAGAAGGAACAACTGCAGAGAGACATTGGATAATAGAAAAAAACTTCTGAATTAAATCAGCCTGTGTATTTCAAGGATGTGTTTACTTCACAATGGAAACCAGGGAGATGTGCTACGTTGGGGAAGGGATTTGACTCATGTTTCCATAGGAGAAGAAAAGCTATTGATACCATCAAAATTAATAAAAATTTGATTTGAAAAAGAAAAACTTCTTGAGAAAGAGAAATGACAGCTTATCGACAGAGGTAACAATCATACAGTAGGTAAGGAAACCTCATAAGGGTTGGGGCAGGGTTCTGTTCTTTATCTTTGCAGGAAAATATTTATCTTCAAAAAGTAAAGAGACTCTGGATATTTAGATGCCTAAAAAGAAAAGATAGCCATCCAGAAAGAATCACTAAGCAAAGAGAAATCTGATTTATGATGCCGTATCATCTGCATGGTAAAATTTGATTACCAAACATGTATATATCTCTGCTTAAAAATCAGAGCTGACCTTGGAGTTAGATAGTCACTGCCCTTCTCTAAATCCAAGCATGTTATTAAAAGAAAAATTCAGAGTTTCTGTCTCATGTCAGGAGTCATCTGGTATGGGAGAGAGAGAGAGAAGAAAGAATTTAGGAAAATTTTACTTTTCTCCATACCTATTTTTGTCTCTGTTGTACCTTTCTGGTATGGAAAGTCCTTCTGTATATGTGTTGCTTTTATTGGTTAATGAATAAAGTTGTTTTGGTCAGTGGCTTAGCATAATAGAGCTAGGCAGGAAAACTAAACCATTCTCCATTTAGATTTCTTTTTTATAACAAACACAGGAGAATTCCAAGGGCTGGTTGATTCTTCAATATGGTGAGCATCTAGTTGCTCTTGTACCAGCTGTTCCAAAGCCTGTAATTTATCTTCAGCCAGAGGCCACTACTTGATCCATATTTGCTTCTCAGTTAACCATTTTAAAGGTAGGGCTGTTGGTACCTCTAAAGGTTTGCTAGTTGCTGTACGTTCTTCTACAGCCTGAATGGCTGGTGACCTTTTTCCATAATACCTCATTATATCCTTCCCAGAATTATGAGTTCTTGGGACTACTAGAATGTTAATCTGGGTATTCCATTGCTGTAGCAGGTCACAGCCCCATAAATTTATTGCAGTATTGATGATACATGGCCTTAGTCTTCCTATTTGCCCTTTTCAGGTCCTATGCATTCAACCCATCTTGTGTTTTGTTTTACACGAGATAGTGTTCCAATTTTCAGGAACTGAACATCTACCTCTTAAAGAGGCCAATTCGGATCCCAAGATTCTGGAGTAATGATACTTACATGCACACCTGTGTCTAATAAGCCTTCACTAAAAATGCCATTTATACAGACTCTTAGCTTTGGTTTTTGATCGTTAATAGAAGTCTATCAAAATATACGTTTCCTACTGGATTTTTGACTCATCCTCCACCATTTAAATCCATCATTTAGACCAATATTGCTTTTTACAGCAGACATTGGATTTTTTAATTTTCTTGGTGAGACACGTTCTCTACTATAACTGAGAATGACTGGGCCACTTTTGGCTTGGGGGCCTGTGAGAGACCCCTCCAGGGGTTTCCCTATAGTATCAGGTTGCCTTGTCTGTCTTTTGTTGACCTGCATTCATTTGGTCCAATGTCAGCCTTTACCATACCTCCTACATATACCTGAACACAGAGGTCTCTTATTTTTGTCATTCTCAGAGGAGATATTATTCCTAGAAATTCCTTGCCTGCAATCCCTTTTCAGATGTCCTAATTTACCACAATTAAAACATTTGGCAGTTTGATGTCTCCTCATTGCTTTGGAAATAGCTTCTCCTACCCAAGATTCATCATTATTGCCAAATGTCCAACATTCATCGTATGCTGAATCCATTCATCTATAGGTGCTGATCCAGACCTTAAAGGCCCAATTATCTTTTTACATTCTAAGTTTGCATTTTCAAAAGCTAGAGATTCAAGAAATATTCATCTAGTTTCTGGGTCTGTTACTCCTATTTGCAGAGCCTTAATTAATCTTTGCAAAAAGTCAGTAAAGGGTCCTTTCTGTCCCTGCCTAACCCTGGCATATGATTTGATTCTTTCCCCTGGTTCTTGTATTGTATTCCTAGCATTCAAGGCTGCTTTGTGTCATAGGGACAATACTTCATTGTAAAGAGCTTTGACCTGTGGATCAGTATACGCTCCTACGCCAAGAATTTGATCTTGGGAAACCTCCACACCTTTTGCTCTTCCTTGCTGTTCCATATGTTTGGATTCTTCTCTGAAATAAATTCTAAACATCAAGGAAGGTCCATCATCCAATATTGTAGACACTAACTAAGAGAAATCATGGGGGGTAGCTCTGATATTAGAAGCCCAAGTCCTTATTTCCTTAACTAATGCAGAGTGCAAGCCATAATTAATGACAGCTTACTTAATTTCTTTTAGATTATTCATTCCTATTGGTATCCATCTACCTTCTTTGGCTCCCTTTGAGCCTTTAGAAGTTGACGCTTTGTCAGAGTAAATTACAGGGTATGATGCTAAAACCCTGGGTAAACCAGTTATGACAGCCAGTGGTGATGACGTAGCCTGTCCTTGAGCCTTCTTACTCTGTTCACCAGCTCCAATAATTTCCTCAGTCATTTCAAATCTTTTTATCATTGTCTCTCTTAAAGCCTGCATCTCCTGACCTGCATATGTTTCTAGTGATTTCACTAAGGTATCAATTTTTTGGTCCCCATTCTGCACCTGTGATTCCAAGGTTTTAATGTTTCCCCTCAACGATAACATGTCCTCCTTGAACTTTCCTTGGATATATCGTGTAGTGGTGTAGGAGGGTCTTCTTTTTATGTTTTGGATAAAAAAAATTGCCTTGGCCTTTTGATAGGGCAGCCCTTAGGTGGGCAGAGTAGACAGAACAGAATTCTGGGAAGAAGGGCAGAGTGGCAGATGCCATGATTCTGTGGCCTGAGATGGATGTAGGTTAGAACCTTCCTGGTAAGCCATGACCCCCGTGCTGATACACAGATTACTAGATATGGGTTAAAGCAAGATGTGAGAGTTAGCCAAGAAGAGGCTAGATACAATGGGCCAGACAGTGTTTAAATGAATACAGTTTCTGTGTAATTATTTTGGGGGTTAAGCTAGCCGGGTGGCAGGATGCAGCCTGCCGCTCTCCTTTTCCAACAGTGTAGAATTGCCATCTTGGAGGTACATTCTGTCTGTTATCTTATCAAAACTTTGTGACAACTTCTGAAGTTCAAATTCAACAGTATGAACCTTTTCAGGTAACTTCCTAGTACCCTTGGATATGGAGTCAATTTTGCCCATCATAGTATCCACTTGTTCAGATAACCTCTGATTTTCAATTAGTCCATAAAGATTGTATCCTTCTTAGGAGTGCCATATTCTCCCTTAATGATAGAATATGGAGAAGAAAACTGAAACCTAGTAACCAGTAAATTGAGGTATCCCCATATTCATATAAACCTTGCATGATATAATCCATTGTATTACTAAAGAAAGCAGTAAAAGTTGCATTGGAAATGAAAATTGCCATATTACCTATTATCCAGCAGGTGGCACTGTTGTCAAGTCTTGACTAGAATCACTGCAAAGGTGACAGAAATGGAGTCCCGTTTCAGTGTCCACCTTAGTATTTGTTAAAAACTGGGAAATACAAGTTTCTCAACAAAGTAAATGTAATTAAATCAATTCCATACACAGAACCAGAAACCCAGAACCAGGGGTAGAGAACAGCAACCTGGAAGCCGCATATGCCTCCATGTGACAAAGAGCCGCCCGAGGGGTTGCAGCGTTTGGCAACTGCTTGCACTCTTAAGCACTGTGCTGCAAGGGGGATTTAAAAACGACTCAGAAAAGAGCAAACCAGGTAGGCAGAAACTGTCTGGGCCTGTGGAGCCCAGGAGGCATGGAGTTTAAATCCACATGGGGAGGCAAATGATAGGGTGTGTGGGGACTTGAAGCCAATCTGAGGCGTGTAAAGAGAAAATATAAAGAATTGCAGCAAGAAAAGCCACTGTGCAATATTCTATATTGAACTGCTGGCTCACACACAAGCTGCGGCTGAGGGAGGGCTTGTGCCGTGCCAAGCCAAACTGGTGGCAGGTAGCCGGGGTGGGGGGGGGTGTTTCTAAAACCAAACGTTGGGTATCAGATGAAGGTGTAAGTCACAAACAATCCCACACCAGTTTGGAATTATGATTAATAAAATGGTTATTTATTTAAAGGGAAAAAAACTTACAAATCACTATCCCAGACAACAGCCCTCTGCATGATCAGGAAAGGAGTCTAGTACCCAGAAGGGGAGCTGGAAGCAGGAGAGTGAGCACACAGCTACCGCTGCTGTTTTAAAACAAAAGAGACCATGCCCAAGTGGGCTGGTATCTTAAAGGCTACTGGCAGAAGGAGTGGAAGTAGCTCCTGCAGCATAAATTCAAATTGTATTGAATATGCTCCTATTTCTGTTTACAATATTTGTATACCTATGCATACATATTGTATACATATGTATGCATGCTTCTACTTCTGTTTAAGACATTTTGTATATTGATACAATTTGAGGATATATTTGTCATATTGCACTATACCTCTGATAAAGATACTTACACATTCTTTACATTTTGAGGTCATTGTTCTCATTTGCTGCATAGTCGTTTAAAGATTGTTTAATGTTCTAATATGAAATTTTAGTCTTTATAGCTATATAGGTATTAAGAATCAAAAGTTCAGTAGTCATTCATGTTTGTCATTCTCATAGACTAATCAGGTTCTTTTTTATTTTTTATTTACTAATCAGGTTTTTTAGATACATAGAGATTGTATTCCGCATAGATAGGTAATTTCAACACTTCAAAGAACCGTAGAATATGGTGTTTAAATAAATTAGGGTTCTGTTGGTGTGAGACACAATTGGCTCCTGGTGGCACTGATCTATTCCTGAGAGAATGTTGACCACCAAAGACACTCCACTTGTTTTCTTGGCAAAACTGGCCTTTGGGTAAGGAACTGCCCAAGCCTCAGCCACTGACAAATTGCATGGTGTCCGGGCAGGAAAAGCAGGGTACAAGAAAAAAGATTGTTAAAACTTGCTAAGATAGGGTAAGACGGTTCTGAAAATTTTCCTGCCTCTGAAAATGGTCTGTCAGTTACTCTAAGATTTAGCCAAAGTTGGTTTCTCCAATGTTGCAAATGAGACTTTGGGTGATTGCCCAGGTAGCCAGTTGTCTCTGTCATTTTTTGCACATTTTGAAAGTTGCTTGATTGCACTTCCTGTTTACTCAAGTAATATTATTTCCCTTCTCAGGTCTTCAATGGGTTTGAAGACTAGATAGTCAGAATTACTTTCCTCTCATTACTTGACCAAGCTATTTCTAATACAAGACTTAGACTCCTTAGGATAGGAGAACTATTGAAACATTTAGCATATGTTTCTTGCTTGATATTGTTTATGCTGGTTGTAATTTCTAATTTTTATACTTGATATTTGTTCTTTTTGTATATAGTTTTGTATTAGGCTTAGAACTCTCTTATTTAGACAAAAGGGGGAGGTGCTGTGAGAACTCTTTCAGCCAATAGCCTTTAAGATACCAGCCTACTTGGGCATGGTCTCTTATAGTACAAATGCACCTGTAAAGCTTATGCATGTTCTCCCTTCCAGCCATTTGTGCAGAGGACTGTAGAAAGAGCCCCAAGCAAGCAACCTTCATGAGAGCAGACCTGAAGAACCCCTGGTATTGCAGAGCAAACCCCATGAGCGACTTTATTATACTCATTTCTGAGCTAGTGTAGGATTACTTTTTAGCATCCATCTTCACTTCACTGGTTCATGCTGATCAATTTTAGAAACAGCCTAGCAGTCCCTTTCCTCTCTCTTTCAATTTGCTATATTACTTTAAAAATCGTTTCTTCATTTCCATAAATATGAGACCATGAGTATACTGGCCAACTTGACACAAGCTAGCGTCATCAGAGGAAGGAACCTCAGTTGAGGAAATGCTTCCATGAGATCCAGCTGTAAGGCATTTTCTCACTTAGCAATCAGTGAGGGAGGGCCCAGCCCATGGTGGGTGGTGCCTTCCCTGGGCTAGTCGACCTAGGTTCTATAAGAAAGCAGGTTGAGGAAGCCATGATGAGCAAGTCAGTAAGCAGCTCTCCTCCATGGCCTCTGCATTAGCTCCTGCTCTGGGATCCTGCTCTATTTAAGTTTCTGTCCTGACTTCCTTCAGTGATGAACAGTAATGCTGAAGTATAAGCTAAGTAAACCCTTTCCTCCCCAACTTGTGTTTTAATCATGGTGTTTCCTTGCAGCAATAGAAGCCCTAACTAGGACAAATTGGTTCTAGTGTAGTGGAGTATTGCTGTGAGAGACCTGACCATGTTTTTGGGAGGATGTGGAAGGACTATCAAACTTTGGGCTAGAAGAGCCATTGAGTGTTAAGAACTCTGTGGGATCTCTGGTGGGAACGTGGAGTATTGAGAGCCATGCAGAAGATGGAGGCCTGTCTTGTGAGATCTCAGAGGGAAGTTTAAAGACTCTATTGGAGCCATTTGTTATTTTGAATTAAGATCCTGTGGTTCTGTCAGTGGGGGCTGAAGAATCAGCTGTGATTAACAAGATACCAGAACTACTAAAGTAAACCTTTGCTTTATTGGGATACTCGATGCTGGTCGGCTGGAGCAGAAATCAGTGGTGATTAAGAAGAGACAAGCGTCCCTGAGGTGGAATCTTTTGGGAAATGTTACCTGAGAGCACAGAAAAGCTGTGATCCGGAGGTGGCCAAGGTTGTACCTCGTGCTGGCAGCTGGACTTGGTGATGTGTAAATGTCACCCAGGTGGTACTGATTTTGAAGGCATGAGGTGTCATGGAGCGCAGCTGGGGCTTGTTATTATGAGAGTCCAGGAAAGGCCATTGGTGAAGGTGCAGCCTCAGTGACAGTTGAAGGCCAGGACTGAAGGGGTCATGCAAAGAAGTTGAGGCTTGGCACTATGAAGAGAGCCTGTGAGAGGCTATTGGTGAAAATGCAGCACAGTTGCAGCAGAAGAATCCAGCATTTCAGATACTATGGGTATGACCACCAAGAACAGCAGCAGCCATGGAGTAGAGCCAGCCAGATCCCAGAAGAAAAGCTTTGTGTGCTGCAGAGGGCAGAGCTGGAGAAGTGACTTCAGAATCCCTAACTAAGACACTGAGGTTCACAAGGACAGGCGTTTTGTCTTCTGTTTACTAGTGCTGTGTGTGCTTTTTTTCTTTTTCTTCCTCTTTCCCTCTGTCTCTCCCCCCCCCCCCCCCTTTTTTCTTTTTGACATGGTCTCACTATGTAACACTAGCTGATCTAAACTTGCTAGGTAGACCAGGCTGGACTCGAAAATATAGATACCCTCCTGCCTCAGCCTCCCAAGTGCTAGTATTAAAGGGATATGCCATCACATTTTACCAGTGCTATATTTTTACCGTATAACAGTTCCAGGTACAGAGCTGCTCAAAACATTTGTTAGCATAGTGATTTTAGTGGAAGCCCACAGAATTTCCTGAGGAATGGATGAAGTATCCACTTCACTTCCGAGTTGCTGGTACAGCTCCAAGTACTCTTGTTAACTAGAAGAGACCATGTATCTCAATGGAGCTCCTTCACTGTGTTCTTTTTAAATTGCCTTAGCCGCTCCTAAAATAGCCTGCTCCCTCCCTGCCAAAAAGGTCTGTGGATAAGCACTAGCAAGAAGCAGAAAGAGAGCACTAATTCTCCCTTTCTTTTCAAGTACCTAACCTGAAGTGGCAGCTAAATTCAACCACCAATTCTGCAGAGAGGTCTTATCTGTGGATCACACTGCTGTTCCCATAGGCTTCCAGTGATGACTCAGAACTTATTGCCTCCATTCTCCCAGCACTGCCTCCAGTTCTGGCCCAGGAGGCTTTAGTGGATCAAATGAGAAATGTTCCCCAGAGGTTCATATATTTGAACACTTGATCCCTGGTTGGTGAAGTGTTTGGACTGGTGGAGGGTTGTTTGATGAAGTGCATTTCTAGGGGTGGCTTTGAGAGGTTATAACGCCGCTCTCTTCCAGTTTGCCTCTCTGTTCCATGTTGGCAGTTGATATGTGTCAATTTCCTGCTCTTGCTGCCTCCACCTCCAGCAGATGGCCTCACCTGGGACTGGAGGGTCCATAGCTACTTTGCGCATGGTGTGTAATGAAAAGAACCAGTACAGCAGCTAACACCACCTCTGAGGGTAAGGTAGTCTACAATAGTAGTCACTGTGGGGACTCCTCAAGGGCAGGCAAAGGCCACTGCACAACTGCAGGGGTCACTTCCAGACAGCAATACCCTCAGAATCCATTCCTCTTTTCCTTCTAATATTTGTTTGTTTGTTTATTTAGAGATGGGGGTCTCACTTTGTAGTTCTAGCTGACCTTGAACTCTCTAGTAGAGCAGGCTGGCCTCGAGCTCACACAGGTCCTCCTGCCTCTGCCTCCCAAGTGCTGGGATTAAAGGTGTGTGCCACCACTGCCTGGCATGGTGTTCTTTTAAAAATTATTCTGAGGCGTGAGTTTGGGACAACTAAGGGAGTAGGCCTGAGCCAGGACCTCTGTGGGTCAGGAATGAGTCAGGGACTTCTAAGGGAGTAGGCAGGAATCAGAGACCGCTGCAGGTCCAGGTGTAAGTCTAGGACCACTGAGGGAGTAGGCCAGAACCAGACATCTGCAGGTCTGGGCACCAATCTGGGACCTCCGAGAGAGTAGGCCTGAGCCAGGACCTCTACTGGAGCAGGCCCAAGGACAACCTCTGCAGAAAGAGCCCCAAGCAAGCAATCTCCATGGGAGCAGGCCCAAACAACCCCTGGTATTGCAGAGCAAACCCCACAAGCGCTGAGCGACCTCTAGGAACACTGAGCAACCAATGGGGTGACTGGAACCGTGGCCCTGACTGCACCATGAAGATCAACCATCTGAGCCTTGTTTCTGCTGGTACCTGGAAGATTGTTCACTGGAGTCACAGACAGCCCCAACTACACCAATCAGAGAAAAAGATGGGTAGACAAGGTAAGAACATAAGCAACACTACAAAGAGCAACATGACACCAGTAAAAACTACAACAGCAAGACTTGAACAACCAAATATAGATGATGAAGAAGAAAATCACCTAAAAAATAACTTCAGGAGAATGTTTGAGACTCTTAGAAAGAAAATGAGAAATTTCCTCAAAGAAATGGAGAAAAAGACAAACAAAAAATTGGAAGACATCAGCAAATTCCTTAAAGAAAACCAAGAAAAAGCAATCAAACATTTGAAAGAAACATTCAAGAACTGGAAACTGAAATACAGACAATAAAGAAAACACAAGCTAAGGGAATTATTGAAACAGAATCACAAGAAAACAATCAGGAACCACAAACGCAAGCATAAACAGCAGAATACAAGAGATGGAAGAGAGAATCTCAAGCGCTGAAGATACAGTAAAAGAAATAGACTCATCAGTCAAAGAAAATGTTACATCTAACAAAAGCTTAGCATAAAATATCCAGGAAATGTGAGACACCATGAAAAAGTCAAACCTAAGAATAATAAGTATAGAAGAAGTTCAACCCAAAAGCACAGAAAATATATTCAACAAAATCATAGAAGAAAATTTCCCCAACCTAAAGAAAGATATGCCTATGAAGATATAAGAAGCTACAGAACACCAAACAGACTGGATCAAAAATAAAGTTCCCTCACCACATAATAATCAAAACACTAAACATACAGAATAAAGAAAGAATATTAAGAGCTGCAAAGGAAAAAGGCCAAGTAACATATAAAGGCAGATCTATCAGAATTACACTTGACTTTTCATTGGAGACAATGAAAGCTACAAGGTCCTGGCCAAGTGTTATGCAGACATGAAGAGACTGTGGTTGCCAGCCCAGATTACTATACCCAGCAAAACTTTCCATCACCATAGAAGGACAAAACAAGATATTCTGTGACAGAACCAGATTTAACCAATACCTAGCCACAAACTCAACACTATACAAAGTAGTAGAAGGAAAACTCCAACCCAAGGAAGTTGGCTACATCAACAAAAGCACAGACAATAGATGATCTCACAGCAACAAATCCCAAAGAAGGGAAAAACACACAAAATAACATCAACAACAAAAACTAAAATAACAGGAGATACCAATCACTGGTCTTTAATATCCCTTAATATAAATGGACTTAACTCACCTATAAAAAGATACAGGCTACCAGATTGGGTATGAAAACAGAATCCATCCTTCTGCTGCATACAAGAAACATACCTCAACCTCAAAACAGAACCCTCAGAGTAAAGGGTTGAAAAAAACTTTTCCAATCAAATGGACCTAAGAAACAAGCAGGTGTAGCTATCTTAATATCTAACAAAATAGACTTCAAGCTAAAATCAGTCAAAAGAGACAAAGAAAGACATTTCATATTAGTGACAGGAAAAATCCATCAGGAGGAAATCTCAATACAAACATCTATGACCCAAATATAAGGGCATTTTCATATGTAAAAGAAACATTTCTATAATTTAATTCACACATTAAACCCCACACACTAATAGTGGGAGACTTCAGTATTCCACTCTTGCCACTAGATAGGTCTGTCAGACCAAAAAATTAACAGAGAAATTAGGGAATTAACAGATGCTATGAATCAAATGGACTTAACAGACATCTATAGAACATACTATCCAAACATAAAAGAATATACCTTCTTCTCAACACCTCATGAAATCTTCTCAAAAATTGACCACATACTAGGTAACAAAGCAAACCTTAACAGATACAAAAAAATTGGAATAACCCCATGTTTCTTATCAGATCACCATGCTTAAAATTAGAATTCAACAGCAACATTAATTCCAGGAAACCTACAAACACATGGAAATTAAACAATGCTCACCTGAATCATCAATGAGTCAAGGAAGAAATAAAGGAAAAAAAATTAAAGACTTCCTAAAATTCAATATAAATGACCACACAACATACTCAAATTTATGGTACAGAATGAAAGCAGCATTAAGAAGAAAGTTCAAAGCAGTAAATATCTACATAAAGAAGCTGGAAAAATCTCACACTATTGAATTAACAGAACATTTGGAAACTTTAGAACAAAAAAAAGCAAACTCATCCAGGAGAACTAGACTGGCAGGAAATAATCAAATTGAGATCTGAAGCCAAAAATAGAAAATACAAAGACTCAATGAGACAACCTAACCAAAAAGCAGAGAGAGAATATCCAAATTAACAAAATCAGAAATGAAAAGGGGGACATAACAGACATAGAAGAAATCCAGAGAATCATTATGTCATATTTTGAAAACCTGTACTCCATAAAACTGGAAAACTTAGAGAAAATGGACAACTTTCTGGATGAATACCAATTACCAAAATTAAATCAAGACCAGATAAGCAAATTAAATAGATTCATAACTGCTAAAGAAATAGAAACAGTCATTAAAAGTCTCCAAAAAAAAAGCCCAGTACCAGATGTTTTTTTCAGCTCAGAATTCTACAAGACTTTCAAAGAAGAATATCAATACTCCCAGAGAAGGAACATTGCCAAACTCTTTTTATGAGGCTAAAATTATCCTGATACCCAAACCACATAAAGACATTACTAAAAAAGAGAATTACAGACCAATCTCACCCATGAACATTGATGATAAAAAACTCAATAAAATATTGGCAAATCGATTTCCAAGAACACATTTGAAAAATCAACTACCATGATTAAGTTGGCTTCATCCCAGAGATGCAGGGATGGTTCAACATACGGAAATCTGTCAGTGTAATCCATCATATAAACAAACTGAAAAATAAAAACCACATGATCATCTCACTGGATGCTGAAAAAAACCATGAAGGAATACAACATTCCTTCATGATAAAGGTCTTGGAGAGAGCAGGGATACAAGGAACATACCTAAACATAATGAAGGCAATATCCAACAGCCAACATCAAACTAAATGGAGAGAAACGCACAGTGATCTCACTGAAATCAGGAACAAGACAAGGTTGTCCACTCTCTCCATATCTATTCAATATAGTTCTTGAGGTCCTAGCTAGAGCAATAAGACACCGAAAGGAGATCAAGGGGATACAAATCAGAAAAGAAGTCAAACTCTATTTGTTGATGATATGATAGTTTACATAATTGACCCTAAAAATTCTACCAAGGAACTTCTACAACTCATAAACACTTTCATTAATGTAGCAGGGTACAAGATTAACTAAAAAAAAAAATCAATAGCCCTCCTTTACACAGATGATAAATGGGCTGATAAAGAAATCAGAGAAACATCACCCTTCACAATAGCCACAAATAGCATAAAATACCTCCAAGTAACTCTAACCAAACAAGTGGAAGACTTGTATGACAAGAACTTTAAATCTTTGAAGAAAGAAATTGAAGACACCAGAAAGCGAAAGATCTCCCATGCTCGTGGATAGGTGGAACTAACATAGTAAAAATGGCAGTCTTACCAAAAGCAATCTACAGATTTAGTACAATGCCCAGCAAAATTCTTCACAGACCTCAAAAAGAATGGTACTTAACTTCATATGGAAAAGCAAAAAACCTAGGAGAGCCAAAACAATCCTGTACAAGAAAGGAACTTCTGGAGGCATCACAATCCCTGACTTCAAACTCTACTACAGAGCTACAGTACTGAAAACAGCCTGGTATTGGCATTAAAACAGGAGGATAAATGGAACCCAGATATTAATCCACACACCTATGAACACCTGAGTTTGACAAAGAAGTAAAAAAAAAATGGAAAAATGAAAGCATATTTAACAAATGGTGTTGGCATAACTGGATATCAACATACAGAAGAATGTAAATATATCCAAATCTATCCCCATGCACAAAACTCAAGTCCAAATGGATCAAAGACCTCAACATAAAACCAACCACACTGAACCTCATAGAAGAGAAAGTGGGAAGTACACTTGAATGCATTGGCACAGGAGACCACTTCCTAAATAGAACCCCAGTAGCACAGACATTGAGAGAAACAATTAATAAATGGGACCTCCTGAAACTGAAAAGCTTCTGTAAAGCAAAGAACATGGTCAATGAGTCAAAACGACAGCCTACAGAATGGGAAAAGATCTTCACTAACCCCACATCAGACAGAGGTCTGATCCCCAAAATATACAAAGAACTCAAGAAATTGGTCATCAAAATAACAAATAATCCAATAAAAAATGGAGTACAGTCATAAACAGAACTTGCAACAGAGGAATCTAAAATGGCTGAAAGACACTTAAGGAAATGCTCAACATCTTTAGCTATCAGAGAAATGCAAATCAAAACAACTCTAAGATTGGTCAAGATCAGAAATACTGATAACAGCTTATGCTGGAGAGGTTGTGGGGTAAAGAGAACTCTCATCCATTGCTGGTGGGAGTGCAAGCTGCTTTGGATATCAGTATGGTGATTTCTCAGAAAATTATAAATAGTTTAAATCGAGGCCCTAATAGGCTCATATATTTGAATGCTTGGTCCCAAGTTGGAGGAGCTGTTTGGAAATGATGAAGAGTGTGGTCTTTGGAGGAAGTGTATCACTGGGTTTGCATTTGAAGTTCTAAAAGCCCATGCATTCCTGCTTATGTTTGCCTGTCTCCTATTTGTAGGTAAGATGTAAGCTCTCAGCTACTGCTCCAATGACTGTCTGCCTGCCTGCTGACACATTCCCTGTCATGATGATCACGGACTCTCATGAGCCCTAAATTAAACTTTTCTTTTTAAAAGTTATCTTAGGCTGGAGAGATGGCTCAGCGGTTAAGAGCACTGATTGCTCTTCCAGAGGACCCAGGTTCAACTCCCAGCACCCACATGGCAGCTCACAACTATCTGTAACTCCAGTTCCAGGGGAACCCAACACCCTCAGACAGACATACACACAGGCAAAACACCAATAAACATAAAATAAAAATAATAAATTATTTATGGGCTGGAGAGATGGCTCAGCGGTTAAGAGCAGTAACTGCTGCTATTCCAGAGGTTCTGAGTTCAATTCCCAGCAACCATATGGTGGCTCACAGCCATCTATAATGAGATCAGGAAGAATATTGTATACATAATAAAAATCTTTAAAATAAAAATAAATAAATAAATGTTGCCTTAGTCATAGTGTTTTTTGGTTTTGTTTTTGTTTGGTTTGTTTGTTTGATTGTTTGTGTTTTTGTTTTTTTGAGACAGGGTTTCTCTGTGTAACATCTCTGGCTGTCCTGGAACTAGCTCTTGTAGACCAGGCTGGCCTCAAAGTCACAGAGATCTGCCTGCCTCTGCCTCCCAGCTGCTGGGATTAAAGGTGTACGCCACCACCACCCCATCAAGAATAAAGGTGTTTTATAAATGAATACAAGCACAGAGCAAAGAGGACTGGAGTCTAGATCTGAGAGTGCTTAGAGGAAATCTGAGCTGGATTGAGCTTTGAAGACTAGCATGTTCATTCATTCACTCACTCACTCACTCTTTCATTTGAGCAATATTTTTTTGAGACAGGGTTTCACAATGTAACTTAGTCTAATCTTCAATTTATGATTCTACTGCTGGGTGTGTGCCACCAAGTCTGGCAAATATGTCCTGTTTTTTATTGTTTTTTGTTTTTTGTAGTGCTAGGGGTTAAACCTGGACCCTTGGTTATGTTGTTCCTCCAGCCTAATGCTAGCGTTTTTGTTGTTGTTTTTATCTAATTGCTGAGTCCTAGTTGGGGAAAACTAAGCAGTGCTCAAGGCTGCCTGGGGCCATGACTTCAGTAGAGAGAAAGTTTGTGTAGTGAGTAGAGCTCAGAATTGAGTTAGGACAGGTAAAGGAGGCTTCTGGAAGTTTTGATTATGAGGCCATAGGGAATCCCATAGATTTTTAAATAGGGTCAGATACAGCTGAAGAAACAATTCAGTGGTTAATGGCACTGAGTGTTCTGCAGAGGACCAGGGTTTAATTCCCAGTACCTAAATGACTGCTCATGTGAACTGTCTGTGACTCCAGTCCCAGGAGATCTGATGTTGTCTTCTGACCTCCTTGGTCACCGGGTATACAGATGTTTCACAGACATACATGCAGGGAAAACACCCATACACATTAATAAATAAATGAACAAACAAACACAGTCAGGCAGTAGAAGTGGGAAGGTCATATGACTAGCAAATAGAAATGTAGACAAATTGCTCTACTTTGCTTCGTGACCTTGGGTCCATGCCTTTCTGTAAGCCTCAGTTTTTCCACTTGATAAAATAGGGAGACAAGAGGCTTAAGTTTGCTGTGCAGGTGATAATCTAGGGGACTGTGTGGCTTCAGAGGAAGGCTGGGCTTGAATGGGGATAAATGAACAGCAGACCTTGCTTCTTCCCTGACCCCCATGTCATCTTCAAGTTTGCTTTTTAGCCTTTTCCTTCCCTGGCCATACAGGAACAGGTTTAGACCCCTCCGCCCATTGGTCTCTATTTTTTGGGCATCAGAACTCTCCGTGGCCTTGTAATTTCGGCCTATGTAATTTAAATAACATAAATCTTCATTCAAATGAGCTAAATAAGAAAGCAGCTTTGTTTTGTGAGTCATAAAGACCTGAATTCATGTCTCCTGAGACGGACAAGTCTGCCAAAGGCCTGGATTCCTGGAGATGGCTCCTCTGCTACTGCCATGCCTACGACATCCTTACACACACACACACACACACACACACACACACACACAAACTGCTCTTCATGCTTAGGCTGTCAGCAAGAAAAATGTGGGAATTACATGTAACAGTGACATACAGGAGAGAGAGAAAGGGACTATTTTTGAGACAGAGACTCATATAGCCTAGGCTAATCTTAAAGTCCCTATGCCCCTATAGCCTAGATGATGTTGGAGTCCTTATCTCCTGTTTCTTCCGAGTGCTGGGATTACAGGTCTGCCTGGCAGGTGCAGACTGAGCCAGGGTCTTGTGCATGGCAGGCAGGCACCCCACCAACTAAGCCACAGTCTTATCTCAAGGGGTCTTTGTTTTTTAATTACACTCTTTTGAAGAAGAATAAAATAAAACTTTCCCCAGCAGACATCTCCCCATGAGTCACTGAGTAAAAGTGGCTCACTTTTCTCTGAGACAATGAATGATGGAGACCAGTGTGTTCTAACAAGAGGCAGTTTCGTTCCCCAGGAGACATTTAGCAACTCCTGAAATATAACAATGTGGTTCTTGGAAAAATCTGAGTCTGGCTATAAGATGAGGTTGCTGGAAGCTCAATTTATTGCAATGTCTGCCACAAGTCATGTCAGGCATTGTCCTTGAGTTCTTTGCCACCAAATCAAATTCAATTACTCTAATAATAATAATAAAATAGAAACAAGGTCATTCTTTAAGAGGAAAGGAAGACTGTCTTTTTAAAAATTCTTTATTTTTTATTTTTTTAATATTTATTTATTTATTATGTATACAATAGTCTGTCTGCGTGTATACCTTCAGGTCTGAAGAAGGCACCAGACCTCATTACAGATGGTTGTGAGCCACCATGTGATTGCCGGGAATTGAACTCAGGACCTTTGGAAGAGCAGGTAATGCCCTTAACCGCTGAGCCATCTCTCCAGCCCCTGGAAGACTGTCTTTATGCACTTACATTTCCTGTTTTTGTTTTAGACAGGGGTCATGTATTTCAGGCCATCTTTGAACTTGCACTTGCTATATAGGTAAGGATGATCTTAAATTTTTGATCCTCTTGCCTCCATCCCCCAGTGTAGGATCCCAGAGATTTGCCACTATGTCTGATTTTATCCTCCTCATTTTATTAATCCTCCGGCTTCCATTGAAGAGAAGGTTGTTACTTGTTTTAGTCAGTGTTCTATTCTGACCTATCAAAGGTCAAAATAGAAGCAACACATATGCAGATGGACCTTCCACACTGTGTGTGTATGTGTGTGTGTGTGTGTGTGTGTGAGAGAGAGAGAGATAGAGAGAGAGAGAGAGAGAGAGGTATAGGAGTCTGTGGATGCGAGAAGTGGGCCTTGAATCTACTAGAAATAGGGTTAGAGACAGTTGTGGGTCACTCAGTATGGGTGACAGGAACTGAATGCAGGTATCTGGAATTCATATAATTGAATTCGTCTGTAGTGTTTTGTGGGTGCTGTCCTTGTCAGTTTTGTTTTATTTTTATTATGATTGTGTTTGTTTTTTTTGAGTCATGGTCTCTATATAGCTCTGACTGTCCTAGAATTCACATAGATCAGCTTACCTCTGCATCCTGAGAGCTGGGTTCAAGGGTGTGTGTACCACCATGCCTGTGTAGCACAAATTCTACTTGGTCTTATTAATAAAAACCCAGAGTCAGATAGTTGGGGGTTAATGCTGAAAGATCAGAGAAGCAGCCAGCCACTAGTTCTTACTTCTACGAAATCCTCAAATCGAATGGGGTGTTCTGTCTCTACAAGTCCTCAGACTGAATGCTGTCTCTACAAAACCTCTGACTCAATCCTGAGCTCCTGTCCTCTTCTATCTTATATTCCTCTGTCTGCCCAGCCAGATCCTGTCTCCACCTTCCTAGTGCTGGGGTTGAAGGTGGAAGCCACCACTGCCTGCTCTCTAGAGATAACTAGTTAGGCTAGCTCCACACGCTGATCTTCATTCAAGTTGTACCCGTTAAAGCACAAACAAAATGTCACCACAAGCCTGGCTCTGGTTTTATTTTATTTTCAGTTCTGGGAATTGAACCAAAGACTTCACGCATAATGCTCTGCCACAGAGCTATATCCCGATAGCCCTTTCACCTTTTGCTTTGAGACAGGTTATTGCTAAGTTATCAGGTTTGACTGAAAACTTGCACTCCTCTCGTCTTCCCCTTCCGAGAGCTGGGTTACAGGTGTGAACTGCCACACTTCTTGCTTGGTGTCTTTTTTTTTAGATCCCTGAACTTCCTCCTCCAACAATACCTCCTCTTCCTTCTCTCTGATTTTTTTTCTCTCTTTGCCCTTTTCTCAGTTCATGTGAATTCATCGATTTCTAGTTTTCAGTATGTTATAATTTATTAATGATAATCATTTTGGTGCCAAAGAACTCTAATAGACCAGATTTGTTTGATACACTGGTGGAGGATGCATCAAGGTGTTTCTTATTTAAGTTTGTGTGCGTGTGTGTGTGTGTGTGTGTGTGTGTGTGTGAGAGAGAGAGAGAGAGAGAGAGAGAGAGAGAGAGCGAGAGCATAGAGGCCAACTTGCAGGAGCTGCTCTTTCCTACTTCTTGGATCCTGGGGATACAACTTGGTTGCCAGACTTTGATGCACCTTTGCCCACTGAGCCGTTTTTCTGGCACTCAACCAGTTCTTTGTTTTGTTTTTCGAGACAGGGTTTCTCTGTGTTTCTTTGGAGCCTGTCCTGGAACTAGCTCTGTAGACCAGGCTGACTTCGAACTCACAGAGATCTGCTTGCCTCTGCCTCCCGAGTGCTGGGATTAAAGGCTTGCGTCACCACTACCCAGGTCAATCAGTTCCTTTTTTTTTTTAAATATTTATTATGTATACAACATTCTGTCTGTGTGTATGCCTGCAGGCCAGAAGAGGGCATCAGATCTCATTACAGATGGTTGTGAGCCACCATGTGGTTGCTGGGAATTGAACTCAGGTCCTTTGGAAGAGCAGGCAATGCTCTTAACCTCTGAGCCATCTCTCCAGCCCCTCAACCAGTTCTTTTAATAAAAAAAATCCCATAAAAGCAGTGTGAATGTAGCTCTGTGGTAGACTGCATGCCTACTAAGTGCAACACCCTATGTTCAATTCCCAGCATTGGGAAAAAAAAATCAAGAAAAATTCCTGAACACTGCAGGACACCTTCTGTGTCCATCACACTCACTGGACAATGCAGGACACCTGCTGTGCCCGTCACACTCACTGGACAATGCAGGACACCTGCTGTGTCCATCCGCACGCAGCACCGGCCTTACACAATGCCAGTCATTTACGTGGGATTTAAAGTGTACAGAAAGGCTATAGGCATGACCACATGACTTGGTCTTTTTAAAAGTGTGTATGGCTAGGTGGTGGTGGCACATGCTTTTAATCCCAGTACTGAGGAGGCAGAGGCAGGTGGATCTCAGTGAGTTTGAGGCCAAACTGGTCCACAGAGTGAGTTCCGGGACAGCCAGAGCTGAAACATAGAGAAACCCTGTCACAAAAAAAAAGCATGTCTGTATGAGACCAGAAGGTGTCAGATCCTCTGGAACTGGATACAGGCATTTTTGAGCTTCCTGATGTAGGTGTTAGGAACTAAGTCCAAGTCCTCTGCAAGAGCAGCAAGCCTTCTTTCCTGTGGCATCTCTCCGCACCTGATTAGTCACAAGGGTTTGCTTTTTGTTTTGTATGCTGAGGATTTAACACAGGGCAGGCCACATTCTAAATACATGTGCTGTTTGAACTATAGCCAACCTATAACATTTTGTGTGGGTAGAGTGTGTGTGTTCATTCACATATGTGTGCAAGTACACATGCAAATGCATGTGGAGGTCAGAGGTCAACCCTGGAAAAGTTTCTCAGTCACACTCCATTATGTGTGTGTATGCATATATGTGTATGTGTGTATGCATGTGTATGTTTGTGCATGTATGTGTATGTGTGTCTGTGTATGCATGTTTGTGTATTTTTTTGAGACAGGGTTTCTCTGTGTTTCAGCTCTAGCTGTCTGGAACTCACTCTGTAGACCATGCTGGCTTTGAACTCACAGAGTTCCGCCTGCCTATTCCTCCCTGAGAGTCGAGATTATAGGCGTGCACCACCAGTGCCCGGCTTTCCCATTTTATGCTTTTGAGACAGATTGTGTCACTGAACCTGGAGCTCATTTATTCAGCTAGACTGGCTGGCACAGGAGCTACAGATGTCCACCTCTTCATCTGGCTTCTCCACGAGTGCTGAGCATCACGATGAGCACTTGAGCTGCCTTCCCGGTCCTCCCCACTATGACTTTTTATATGAAGAACTTGAGTGTATTAGGATTTTGGCATTCACGGGTTTCTAAAATCAGTTACCATAGAAACTGAGAGATGAATGCAGAGGGATCAGGTCGCTGAGTTTTTCAACTCCAAACCATCCTCAAACTGTGGTTTTCCTCCTCCAATTTTTGCTTCCAGAATAAAAACTCTGGTCTTAACATTAACTCATTCATTTGTTCAAACATACAATAATAATCTAGTCATATAATTTAACAAATTAAAATAGTTTCTTTTTTGTTTGTTTTTCAAGACAGGGTTTCCTTGTGTAACCCTGGCTGTCCTGTAATTAGCTTTGGACCAGAGTGGCTTTGAACTCAGAGACCCACCTGCCTCTGCCTCCTAAGTATTGGGACGAAAGGCATGTACCACCACACCTAGCTAAATGGTTTCTTAATCATTTCATCGACATCAAAATCAAGCAAACTTACCAAAGCAAGTTTATCATTTGTATCTTTCTTCTACCTCTGGTTTCAAAGCCACCAAGTGTCCAGCAGAGCTGTTCATGGAGGAAGGCAGTGACACACAGGGCGAAGGAGGGCTTGAAGCAGAGGATGTGGAAGCTGGAGGTTCTGCATGGCCTGAAGTGGAGCAGCAAGCAAGGCTTTCGTGGTGGTCCTAACCCCTCAAGACATGTTTTCTTGCAGCCATCTTGGCAGGCTGGGATGGGGGAAGAGAAGACAGATGGCTGGATAGCTGATTGAGCCAAAGTTGGGGAACTACCAGATGGAGGTGTTAGAAAGACAGGGTGAGGACACTGGTGTGCTGGCAAGAGAATGGCTGACAACAAGGCCATGGAGTCCAGGAAATCTGGGGAGGAGCAGAGCTTGGGAGAGGTTTCCTGAAGTGACTTCAGCTTGATGAAAACAATGTTCTAGAAATAATCCGCTCTGCGTGTTTATGAAGTGAGAGAGTTCATGCCAAAATTATTTTGGAGATTCTGTACTCAGAGCAACCAGAGACGTTGTTATACTGAGAACTAAAAAGATTGAGCCAGAGAAACTCTTGTTGGCCTGAGACACCGTGAAGAGGGACACCGTCTATAACACACTAATGTGACTAAAAACAAAGTAGTTCTCCGATGAACAGAATTTCACAGAGACAAAGGGACCTGCAGGAATGAGTGTTCCACCTGCAGGAATGAGTGTTCCACCTGCAGGAATGAGTGTTCCACCTGCAGGAATGAGTGTTCCACCTGCAGGAATGAGTGTTCCACCTGCAGTTACTTTAAAGAGTTTTTTAAAAATTTTCATGTGTGCATATGTTTGCATGCACATATGTGCGTATGTGTACGGGTCCCAAGGAGATGAAGTTATAGGCAGTTGTGAGCCACCATGTGGTTGCTGAGAATTGAACCCAGGTCCTCTGGAAGAAGCAGCCAGCACTCTTAACCACTGAGCCATCTCAAGTAAACTACAAGTAAACTTCACTTTAACTCTCAAGAAGTCAGCCTAGCACAGTGGCACAGGCCTGCAATTCCAGAAACCAATAAATAGAGGCAGGAATATCAGGAGTTCAAGCTGCATAGTGAAGTCAAGGCCAGCCTAGGCTACATAAGACTGTGTAACAAAAAAAAAAAAATGAAAACCTAAAACAAAACCAAAAGGGGGCTGGAGATATACCTTAGTTGATGTGCCGGTTTGAATGAGAATGACCTCCATAGGTCCATATATCTGAATGTTTGGTCCCCAGTTGGTAGACTATTTAAAAAGGCCTAGGAGGTGTGGTTTTGTTGGAGGAGATGTATCACTGGGGTGGACTTAGAGTTTTCTGTGGAGGGCCGCAACCACATTCTCCATTGCTTCAAGGGACAAAGGTAGAGATTGACCTCTGTGACCTCAAGGTGTGGTGGTACACGCCTTTAGTCCCAATGCCTGGGAGGCAGAGGCAGATTGACCTCTGTGACCTCAAGGTGTGGTAGTACACGCCTTTGGTCCCAATGCCTGGGAGGCAGAGACAGGCAGATCTCTGTGAGTTCAAGATGATGTAGCACACGCCTTTAATCCCAGCGCGCGTGCTTGGTGACTCTCTACTGCTGCGTCCCTGCCTACTTCCGAGGCATCATCTGGGATAATGGGCAGCGGACCAATCCAAGAATGACACGTCAGAAGCGAGGACTGTTTCCTTTATAAGGGCTGGGTTCCCCTCATTCTGGGTCTCTGCTTTGGAAGCTGATGCTCTCCCTCTCAAGACGCATTAAAGCTTTACTGCAGAAGAATCCTAAGTGCCCCGCGTCGTTCTTGCGGACGAGAAGGTAGCGCGGGACAGTTTTCAAAACCCTACAGCCAGGCCCAGTCCCAATCTCTTTCTGCCAAGTGCTGTGGACGAGATGAAAGCTCCCAGCTACTGCTCCAGTGTCCTGCCTGCTGCTGCCATGCTTCCTGCCACGCTAGTCATGGAGTAACCATCTGCGACTGTAAGCAAGCTCCCAATTGACCGTGGTGTCTTCTCATAGTAATAGAACAGTAAATAAAACAGTTGAGTAGGATCCTTTGCTTAGCATGCATGAGGCCTAGGTTAAGTCCCTGGCATTACATATACTGGGCATGGTGGTACATGCCTGTTATCCCAGTAGAGGAGGCAGGAGGGTCAGAAGTTCAAGAATAATCCAAAGAGATGGCTTAGCTGTTAAGTGATTGCTTTGAAATCATAAGGACCAAAAATCAGATCCCAGGACCCACAATAACCAGGCATACTCTACACACCATAATTCCAGACCTGAGGAGGGTGGGCTGGTCATGATGGGGCTTGTTAGGCTTTCAGTCTAACAGAGAAAATGTGAGCGTCAAAAGACCAGGCAAATGCTGGTCATGGTGATACACAGCTTTAATCCCTTGAGAGGCAGAGGCTGGTGGTCTCTGTGAGTTCATGGCCAGCCTGGTCTAAGCGTAGAGTTACAGTCCAGATAGGTCTATATAGTAAGTCCCAGTCTCAAAAAAAAAAAAAAATGGAAAAGGTAGATTGGCTGGAGAGATGGCTCAGCTGTTAAAGTTGCTGCTTTTGCAGAGATCTGGGTTCTGTCATCATCCCACATAATGGCTCACTATCATCTATAACTCCAGTTTCAGGGGATCTGATACCCTCTTCTGGATGATCCAGGCACTGCACTCATGGATGCATATACATACATGTAAGCAAGCAAACATTCATTCACATAAAATAAATAAATCTTAAAAAAGAAAATATATAGCTCAATAAAAACAATAAAAAATATTACAGGCACATATTCAAGCATCATTTTTAGCAGAAGAAAATATGCACAAAATTCAGAATTATAAAAAAGAATAGGTAGAGAGCGATAGAAGACACCTAATGCCTTCTTCATGCCTTTAAATGATCATAGTCACCCCACCATGTATGCAATATACTCTCACATACAGAAACATGGAACAGAAAAACTCAGCAAGTGTAAGTCCAAATTAAACATGCCACTGTCCTTTTTGCTTCCCACCCCGGCTTGAAATCCTGGTGTTCTGAGTTCCAAGTTGGTGATGCTTTAACCACAATATTCTGAAGCCAGCAAGATGTCTGACTGGCTTGTGTATGCTGGTTTGTGTTTGTTGTGTAAGCACAGGTCCAGAAACAATGGTTACAGACTTGTATTTGCCACAATTCTGAAGTCAGTCATGACTCCACACGTTCTTTGGACTGATGAAATCAGTGGGGATAGACGCGCATAGTAGTTTGAATAAAAATGGCCCCCAAGGCTTAGGGAGCGGCATTAGGAGGTGTGACCTTGTTGGAGTAGGTGTGGCTTTGTTGGAGGAAGTGTGTCACTTAGGGGTAGGCTTTGGGGTTTCAGAAACCCCAGCCAGGCCCAGAGGCTTTTGCTCTCTGCCTGTGGATCCAGATACAGAACTCTCAGTTACTTTCCAGCGCCTGCCTGTGTGCTACAATGTTTCCTGAAATAATGACAAAGGACTAAACCTCTGAACTGTAAGCCAACCTCGATGAAATGTTTTCCTTTATAAGAGCAGCCGTGTTCATGGTGTGCATGAACTCTTCACAGCCAAGAACACTGACTAAGACGACATGTCCAAAGGGACCTGAAATTTTCAGGGAGTGTCGCAGGGTCAACATCCTGAAGTGCTCCAGACCAGAAGTATTTTCTATTTTAGGATCTTAAAATTTTTGCCCACATGTAATGAAATGCCCTGGGGATGGAACTCAAGTCTAAATGGGAAGCTCATTGTCTCATATATACTTTATACACATAGCCAAAAGGTAATCTGACACATAATTTTAATCATAAAAATTGATTTGGAGGAGCTGGAGACATGATTTAGTGGTTAAAAGCACCAGCTACTCTTCCAGAGGACTCAGGTTTAGTTCCCAGAACATGGTTCTGACAAGGTCTTGCTATGTAGCCAAGGCTGGCCTGGAGCTCTGTTTGTAGCTCAGGCTGGCCCCTAGTTCATGGTTCTCTTATGTCCATCTCCTACTCCAGTACTCCACGCCTGTAACATCACGTTTGGGCTGTCAACTTTCTTCTGATCTTTATGAAATGGTCACTGATCTGGATGTGGAGGTGCACTAGGCTCGGCCACCATAGGTTTGTCCGTCAGCATACGCATGAAAACATTACTGATTTCACAAGAAAGCTTGCTTTGCATAGATCATATGATGACTGCACGGAGCCTCGTTAGAACCCACTTAACATGGTAAGTAGAACCCAGGCTCTTTTTTTTTTTTGTATTGCTGAGGCAGTTTCAGGGTGAAGAGAATAGTCATGGCAAGCGTTAACAGAGAAGTTTTTGCCTCCGTGAGAATACTCTACTAAGAAATGGACAGAAATGCCGCTGGTCAAATTTAGCACAATTGAAATGAGCAATACACTTTTTTTAAAGTTTTTTTTATTTATTATGTTTACAGTATTCTGCCTGCATGTATCCCTGCAGGCCGGAAGAGGGCACCAAATCTCATTGCAGATGGTTGTGAGCCACCATGTGGTTGCTGGGAATTGAACTCAGGACCTTTGGAAGAGCAGGCAAAGCTCTTAACCTCTGAGCCATCTCTCCAGCCCCGAGCAATACACTTTTTAAGTTAGTTGTTTGTTTGTTTGTTTTTTCTAGACAGGGTTTTTCTGTGTAGTCCTGGATGTCTTGGAACTCACTCTGTGGAGCAGACTGGCCTCAAACTTGGAGATCTACCTGCCTCTGCCTCCTGAGTGCTGTGATTAAAGGTGTGAACTACCACTGCCTGGCTAAATTAATTTTTTTTAAATCAGATCTCATGCAGCCTAGGAGGACTTGAACTCATTATGTGGCTGAGGCTGGTCTTCAGTTCTTGATCCTCCTGCCTCCACCAGCTCCTCAGCACCACACTCAGCTGCCATCACACTTCAAAGGACAGTAGACTTAGCTTGAAAGGTACCTGGGGAAGAAGGAGCCAAGTCTATGACCTGGAAACAACTCTGCTATTCTAGATAATGGGGTCAGAATTAATGTGAGAACAGCTTGGGAAGCCTGAAGTCAGTATTTCTATTTCTACAGAGAAGAGCATTGTGTGTGGCATTTTCTCACCAAGTCTCATGTGTTCAAAGGCTGACTCCAGTGTGGCAATGCTGGTGGTATTTGGGGTGTGACTTTGGCAGATGGTTGGGTCAGGAGGGTAGGTAGATTCATGGCTTTGTAAGCAGACCAAGATCTCCCTGGCACCCCTGTTTTTCTATTGCCTTGGGACTCCTTGCCCCAGCAAGGAGCTCCTCATTACATGTGGTTGCTTTACCTTGGTACCATGTAGACTCCCTGATCATGAGAAATGCATTTTCTTCTAGGCATGGTGGTTCAAGTCTGTAATCTCAGAACTCTCAAGGTGGAGGTCAGGGGACTAAAGTTCAAGGTTATTCTCACCACAAAGTAATTCAGGGCCTTCCCAAACTGCGTAAGACCCTGCCTTAACACCCATGCCCTCAAAATGATTTTCCTTTACCCATCAATGACTCCATGTCTTATACTCACAGCATCAGCAAATGGCCTAGGACGGTGATGAGAGGGTTTGTGGCAGCATAGCTACACCTAGTGATCATAAAAGGTTCTGAGTTGTTAGGGATCTAATCTGGTAGCTCTTCAAAATTCTTGCACACACTCCCAGAATAGTTTTGATATGTAGTCCAGACTGACCTTGAATTTGTGACCCTCCTGCTGTGGCTTCTAGAGTACTAGGATTATAGGCATGCTATGCTCAGCTCAAACTACTGTACTTTCAGTGCAGTACTGGTGGCTTTTGTTAACATGACACAAGTCAGAGTCATCCGTGGGAAGCTGGAAGTGCAGCTGAGAAAACACCTCCGTAAGACGGGTCGACAGGCAAGTCTGTGGGGCATTTTCTTGATCAATGATTGATGTGGGAGGCCCCAGCCCACTGTGGGTGGTACCACTCAAGGGCCCGTTGCCTTGACTTGTGTAAAACAAACTGAGTGAGCCCCAGAGAACAAGGTGGTGGCAGCATATTTCTCCCCCGCCTCTGTTTTGTTCCTGTATCCAGGTTTCTCTTCTGCCTCTGCTTGACCCCCCATGGTGGACTATGATTGAGACTTATAAATCAGGCAAACACTTTCCTCCCCAAGTTGCTTCTGGGCATGGTACTTAACATGGTAAGAGAAAGCAAATTAGGACGAATGCCCAATGGAGAGAAAACTCACCTGGAATTTTTGTTCTCAAACAGTTTCTGCATCTCTAGAGTTTCTATTCCCCCAACAGAGTTACTGTCCAGTACAAACCTGAGAGGTGCTACATGTCTGCGTTTGTTATAGCATTTTCTTTTTTTTTGAAGGTAATTTTATTAAATTATAAAAGTTTCCATTTACGCCCCTCGTTATAGCATTTTCAAGAGCTGTGGTCAGGCCAGAGAGAGTGGGCCATGCTTGTTATCCCAATACCTGGGAGGTGGAGGAAGGAGGATCAGGAGTCAAAGGTCACCTTCAGCTACATAGTGAGTTTGAATTCAGTCTGAGCTCCATGGGATTCTGTCTCAGAAACATTGGCAGTGATGACAGCAGAGCCGTCTGTGATAGCATCACCCGTTTCCAGGACCAGAGAGGGGGGCTGGGAAGATGGCTCACCAATGGGTTAATGGCACCAATTGCCAAGCCTGATGACCTGAATTTGATTTCTAGGACCCATGTGGTGGAAGGAGAAGACCAACTCTCACAAGTTGTCCTCTGACTTCCGTATGTGCGCTGTGCATGCACACTAAATAAATAAAAATAAACAAACCAAAACAAAACAGAAAAGGGTATACTGCCACCAGATGGTAATAGTATTCTCCCTGGCCACACAGCCTCAAAAGGAAGATTGTTTAAGAAGGACTGGAGTTAGATCCTCCACATACACACATACATGAACATGTATATACATAAGCATGTATGCACATGTGAACATGTGTAGCTGATATTGCAATAAATTTATGGGGCTGTGACATACTACAGCAATGGAATACTCAGATTAACATTCCTGCAGTCCCAGGACCTCACAATTCTGGGAAGGATGTACTAAGGTACTATGCACGAAGGTCACCAGCCGTTCAGGCTGTACAAAAACATAAAGCAACTAGCGAACCTTTAGAGGTACCAGCAGCCCTACCTTTAAAATGGCTAACAGAGAAGCCAATATGGATTAAGCAATGGCCTTTAGCTGAAGATAAATTGCAGACTTTAGAACAACTGGTACAGGAGCAAATAGATGCTCAACATATTGAGGAATCTACCAGTCCTTGGAATTCTCCTGTATTTGTTGTTAAGAAAAAATCTGGTAAATGGAGAATGGTGACAGATCTTATTCAACCTATGGGCCTTCTGCAATCTGGAATTCCTCTGCCTTCCCTGTTACCAAAGGGATGGCCTTTTATAGTTATTGATTTGAAAGATTGTTTCTTCACTATACCATTACAGGAAAAAGATAGAGAAAAGTTTGCCTTCACAGTGCCTACCTATAATAACTCTCAGCCTGCAAGGAGGAAACAGTGGACCGTCCTCCCACAGGGAATGTTAAACTCTCCCACCCTGTGCCAATATTTTGTAAGCCAACCATTGAAAATTATACGCAAACAATTTCCCAAGTCAATAATTTACCACTATATGGAACGATATTCTGCTGTCTGATCCAAACATAGATACTTTAGAAAGAATATTTGAGGAAGTAAAGATAGTTTTGCTAAATGGGGATTACAAATTGCTCCTGAGAAGATTCAAAGAGGAGATTCTGTTAATTACCTAGGTTACAGAATAGGTTTACAGAAAATTAGAACACAAAAGGCACAGTTTAGAAGAGACCAGTTACGGACTCTTAATGACTTTCAAAGACTGTTAGGAGACATTTCCAGTCTACGACTGGCTGTTGGGATAACACCTGTTCTAATAATTCATTTAAACAAAACCTTAGATGGTGACAAGGATTTGAACAGTCCCAGAGAATTAACAGCTGAAGCAGAAAAGGAACTGATGATGGTTCAGGAGAAATTACAGGAGGCACATGTGGATAGGGTGGATCCAAATCTTAGTTGTATTTTAGTCATATTGCCTTCCAGAATTTCTCCTACGGGAATTTTAATGCAGAGGGAAGATACTATTTTAGAATGGATCTTTTTACCACACAAACCAAGTAAAAAATTAAAAACCTATATAGAAAAGGTCTCTGAATTAATTATAAAAGGTAAATTGAGACTTCGTCAACTAGCAGGTATAGACCCATCAGAAATTATAGTGCCTTTCCCTACTATTGAAATAAAAAAGTTATATGGGAAGACAATGAGCCATGGCAAAGGGCTTGTGCTAATTTTTTTTGGGAGAAATTAATCCCAACTATCCCAAAAGTGGTAGACTTAACCTTATAAAGAGAACTTCTTGGATTCTTCCTCGAATTGTACGTGATGCTTCAATAACTGGAGCTCATGCATTTTACACTGATGCCAATAAATCAGGGAAGGCAGGTTACAAATCAGATGAATTGAGTAAGGTGGAACAAAGCCCTTATAATTCTGTCCAGAGGGCAGAATTATATGCCATTTTCATGGTGCTAAGGGATTTTAAAGAACCTCTTAATAATATAGTTACAGATTCACAATATGCAGAAAGAGTTTTCTTGCATATTGAAACCGCTGAATTTATACCAGATGACACAGAGTTGACTTCATTGTTTATCCATGTACAAGACATAATCAGGAATAGGCTTTGTCCAATGTACATAACACACATCCGGTCCCATACGGTTCTGCCAGGTCCTCTAGCACAGGGTAATGCAGAATTTGATCAATTATTGATTGGAAGCGTGTTGCAGGCCTCAGAATTTCATAAAAAACATCATGTCAATAGCAAAGGTTTAAAGAAAGAGTTTTCCATTACATGGCAACAAGCCAAGGAGATAATAAAGAGATGCCCTACTTGCTCTTTATATAACCAAACACCGTTACCTGCAGGGACTAACCTGAAGGGTACTCAAAGGAATGAAATCTGGCAGATGGATGTGTTCCACTTTGCAGAATTTGGAAGATTAAAATATGTACATCACACCATTGACACTTATTCAGGCTTTCAATGGGCAACTGCCTTGAGCTCAGAAAAATCTGACTCAGTAATCACACACTTATTAGAAGTTATGGCCATTATGGGCACACCTGCATAAATAAACACAGATAATGGTCCAGCTTATGTCTCTAGGAAAATGAAACAGTTTTTTGCTTATTATAATATTAAGCATGTTACAGGTATACCATACAATCCTATAGGTCAAGCAGTCATAGAAAGATCAAATCGAACTATAAAGGATATGTTAAATAAACAGAAAGGAATAGAAAATGCCCCCCAAAATAGATTGCATAATGCGTTATTAACCTTGAGTTTTCTTAATGCTAATGAGAAAGGAACAATGACCACAGAAAGACATTGGATAATGGAAAAGTCTGCTGAACTAAATCAACCAATTTATTTCAAGGATGTGCTGACCGCGCAATGGAAGCTAGGAGACGTGCTGCGTTGGGGAAGGGGTTTTGCTCTTGTCTCCACAGGAGAGGAAAAATTGTGGATCCCAACAAAACTAATAAAGGTTCGGTTTGAAGAGGAGAAGCCTCTTGGAAAAGATAAATAACAACTCATTCACAAAGATAATAATCACACCAAAGGTAAGAAAAACATATAGGTTGGGGACTGGAGAGATGGCTCAGAGGTTAAGAGCACTGACTGCTCTTCCAGAGGTCCTGAGTTCAATTCTCAGCAACCACATGGTGGCTCACGGCCATCTATAATGAGAAAAATGTATGCACATATGAACAATGCATGAACATGTACATGCATGAATGAAATATTCACACACATATGAAGACATAGCACATACACAAACATGTATCCACACATACATATACAAATGAAAAATATGCTAGGAAACTTTTTTGTTTTGTTATGTTTTTTGAGACAGTGTTTCTCTTACATAGAGAAACAGCCCTGGCTGTACTGGAACTTACTTTGTAGACCAGGCTGTCCTCGAACTCACAGAGATCCACTTGCTTCTACATCCCAAGTGCTGGGATTAAAGACCTGAGTCACCATCTCCCAGTTCCCTTTTTATTTTTGAGACTGAATCTCATTCTGCAACTCAGTATCTCACAGCAATTCTCCTGTCTCAACCTTACCTAGCTTGGAGTAACATTTATTTTTAATGTACAAGGTCTTTATAACCCTGGTTGGCCTAGAATTTGGGATGTAGAGCAGACTGGCCTTGAACTCATGGTTTCTACTTCCCAAGTGCTAGAATTATAGACATGAGTCACCATGCCCCATCTGAATGATTCTTTTTTTTCCTCGAGACAGGGTTTCTCTGTAGCTTTGGAGCCTGTCCTGGAACTAGCTTTTGTAGACCAGGCTGGCCTCGAACTCACAGAGATCCACCTGCCTCGGCCTCCCGAGTGCTGGGATTAAAGGCATGTGTCACTACTGCTCGGCTTTTTGAGTGACTCTTCTTTAATGTGTCTCTGGAAGACTGTGACTGGTGCTCGTGAGGGATCATGGGAAATAAAAGGATGACGTGTAAATCTGTTCACATAAGATTATGTGGTAAAACAATCAAGGGACAAATAACCAGAGAGAAAAATTTTAATGGTTGAGTTAAAAATTTACACAACCTTGTTGAACATAATATATGCAACATTAAATTATAAGTAATACATGTAATTGTTTTTTTCTAGGTAGAAATACCTCACTTTGAGAAAACCTGATATACCATAGTCTGATTGGTCATTTAACCTTTCGGAAACTTTGACACAGACTTTTTCATATGGCACGTTCAAAATTAGTTTGATCTCTTAAAAACTTATTTGCATATAACTTTGGAGGGAACATCTACTGGTAAAAATGAGAGAAATATGTGCTGTCTTTTCGTGAGTATATACTTCAACTTACAATAAAGGCTAGTCTATACATCAAAATATAATTTCACCTTAGGATAAAAGTACTGAATTTATGAGGTATAACATAGGCCATGTCCACAGTAGAAGTACAGAGTGCAGGTCAGCGTGAACACACAACACAGCACATAATAAATAGTTTCCATTTCCTTCACAGATTTCCTCTTTTAAATGTGAATAACTCACAACATTTTCAAGGGAGCTGGAGACACAGTTCAATGGTAAATCCCTTGCCTCGTACGCCCTAGGTTTGGTTCCCAACACTGCATAGAAAACAAAACAAAAACCAATAAAACTACCCAAAATCTTTGGCGGAAGCACCTGCATGTCACAGCAAAAGCACACACCTAAGGGTATGTGTATATGTGCAAAGATGGGTACACCGCCGTGGCGGTGCGGTCTTTCCTTGTGGCGGGGTATTTAGTCCTAGGCCAGTTTGGCTTGACATCTGGAGCTGGCCCTAGGCTGGAGTTTGTGCTTCTCTTTGGAGAGCATGACGTAAAGCCTGGCTTCTTACTCTGCACAAAGGAGATAAAAGAGTTGAATTCACTTTCTGTCGCAATTTCTAAGTTATAGTTAGGGTTGAAGTTGACCTTGCTAGACAGGAGTTAGAAAGAAATACCTGCATCTCCTCCTAAAATCAAAATGGCCAACAATGTGACAGGGCAGAGTTGAGCCAAGCACTCGGTCAGGCTTCTCAGACAAGTAGAGTTCTATGGGCAACATTTTAGTGGATCCAGGGAATGGAAAGACTTTTTCTTTTTTCCTTTCTTTCCTTCTTCCTTCCTTCCTCCCTTTCTTCCTTCCTCTTTCTTTCTTTCTTTCTTTCTTTCTTTCTTTCTTTCTTTCTTTCTTTCTTTCTTTCTTTCTTTCTTTCTTTCTTTTTTTTTGAGACAAGGTTTCTCTGTGTAACAGCCCTAGCTATCCTGGAACCAGCTCTTGTAGATCAGGTTGGTCTCAAATTCAAAGCGATCCACCTGCCTCTGTCTCCCAAGAGCTGGGATTAAAGGCATGAGCCTCTACTGCCAGGTGGGCAAGGCTGTTTTCATAAGCTGTCTACAACATTACACAAAGGAAGATAAAGAAACATTGGGTTAAAATACTTGTCCTGCATTTCCCGCTCTGTTGTCTGATATACTCTGGGAGTTAAAATGCATTCGCATTAGAAAAAGACTCCACAGAAAAATTCAAGAGGATGAAGTAATGATAAAGGGTTGACAGAACTGACTTTCATGTTATGGGCTAATCAGCATGTTTTAGTTGTACATATGGTTCTGTCCCTTGTAGGTTTCAAGGAATGGATGCTGAGTGAGGAACAAGGACAAGTTCATCACTTATTAGTCTGCTACAACTTTCTTTAGTTTGACTTTATTAGTTACAAAAAGAGAATATTTATTTTTTATCTGCAATAGAATATTTTATATAATAAAAAGTTAAAATGAGTGTCTTTACTATGTGTCTGTATGTGCACCAGAAGGTGTCACCCTGTACTGGACGACTGCGAGTCACCATGTGGTGCTGGGAACAGAATCAGGTCCTCTGGAAGTGCAACAAATGCTCTTAACTGCTGAGCCATCTTTCTACTCCATAACTGATATTATTGGGTTTTGGTTTATATTTTTCATTTTATTTTATTTTATTTTATTTTATTTTATTTTATTTTATTTTTTTGAGACAGGGTCTCACTGTGTAGTCCTGGCTTTCCTGGAACTCACCAGGTAGATTAGGCTGGCCTCGAACTCACAGAGATCCATCTATGTCTGCTTCCCAGATGCTGGAACTAAAGGCATGTGGCATTATACCCAGCTTCCATGATTATTATTTTGAGACAAGGACTCTCTATGTAGTCCTGTCTGGTCTCAAATTCATTGCCTGGCCTCAAACTTGTGATTCCTCTGCCTCAACCTTCAGTTTAATTTAAACTTCTCTGAGCTTTGCTCTTCGGTTGGTACCTGCTCCATGGTAGTCTACACCTTGTCACTCTTCCTTGAGGACCTTGTCTTTAGGAGCCTCCCACTTGTAGGTCCTCCAAAAGACTCTGATAGGCAAGTGAGAGCATCTACACAAGAGTCAACACATGCAAAAGCCTGGTAGAGCATCAATTTATTTCAGTTAGTGTGGTGTTCTCGACTTCATTGTGCCCAGACACATGTGAACTCCCTGCTGTCACACCCAGGGCTGTGGAAAGCCCAGGCTACCTTTCTCTTGCTTTTTGAGCTGCCTTAGTCTCCCAAGTGGCTAGAATTACAGGTGTGCCCTGTCAGACTCAGCTAAGCCCGGGATGTTTAAAAGGGAAGCTCACTAGCTGTTGCTACTGCCAAGCAAAGAATGTGGAAGTTCAAATTTGTGTGAACGATGTTGATAGAAGGCTACATTGTAATTAATTCTAACGTTTTAGGAAAGCAAGAGCTAACCACTGTGGTTTGAACATGCCTGTCTCCCCTGAACCTCACTGTGGTGGTGTTGGGAAGTGGGATCTTAAGAGCTCATTCGAGATTTTAAATCTTACAGATGGGCTGTTTTATGGGACAAATTAAATTACCAAAAAAAAAAGTTATGAAATGAGGCTGGTAAGCCACGCTTGATGACCACGCCTTTAGTCCCAGCAGAAGCTGGCAGATCTCTAGGTCAGTGTGGTCTATACAGTGAACTCCAGGACAGTCTATGTAGAGAAACCCTGTCTCGAAAAACAAGCAAACAAGCCAGGGGGTGGTGCCGCACGCCTTTAATCCCAGAACTCGAGAGGCAGAGCAGGCGGATCTCTGTGAGTTCGAGGCCAGCCTGGTCTACAAAAGCTAGTTCCAGGATAGGCTCCAAAGCTACAGAGAACCCCTGTCTCGAAAAACCAAAAACCAAAATAAAAACAAAACAAAAGAACAAGCAAGCAAACAGACAAAAGAGGCTGCTCCTTGAGTCTGATTCTTTTGCACACACCTCCCCGCTCTCTGATTCTGCACACACCTCCCCGCTCT